TTTTGTCTAAAAAATCCCAAATTTCATCATCTGTAGAAGTCTGCGCCGTAGATGTAGTAGGTAACTGATTTTCTTTTTCAAGTGGTTGGTCTTGAGCTAGGTATTGAGCACACTCCTCAAGGACGAATTTAACCGCATTCTCGGCATTGCTCTCTACACCAAAACCTTTTTTTTTAAAACGTGGATCCAGTAAGGTGGCTTTTGCTGCTGTTCTGTTGGACTCATAGACACTTAATCTTCTATCAATGACTTCCAGCAGCGACCGCTGAACATGTCTTCCGGCTTCGGTTTTTGGAGACTTATTTTGGATTGAACTTTGTAGTCCTCTGACAATTGGTATAATACACGATAGCGTCGGATACGATTCGCCAGATAACACGGACGTGACTTTTTCCATTGGCTGTAAAAGAGCAACACAGTCTTCTATTATCAACCAGTCCTCTGAATTCAAACTTGGCGGAGGTGATGTGAGCAGAGGTAATGTTGCAGACAGGGGAACTTTGGCTCTTAGCAATCTCTGTAACATGTAAAAAGTGGAGTTCCACCTCGTTTGGACGTCTTGTTTTAGTTTGATTATTTCTAAATTCATTTGCGTTTGCATTTCTCTAAGTGCATTTGAGGATTTTGTACTCTGCTTAAAATGCGTAACGATGGCACGACTTTTTGAAATAACATTTATGACATCGCTATTTTTCAAATGTGGGTATACGTCACTTTCTGCTTGAATGCAGTCTTTGACTGCTAAATTTATAGTGTGCGCAACACAGAAATGATTTCTTTTATTTAAGAAATCCTTAATAGCTTTTTTCATACTTGAGGCATTGTCGGTCACAATAGTAACAATTTTTTCAAAAATGTTCCATTCGTTTAAAATGTTGCGCAAAGCGTTTGCTATGTTTAAAGACGTATGCTGGTCAGCAAGTTCGGATGTTGCAATTATAAGTGATTGTAACTTTGAATTTTCTATAAAATGGGCAGTTACACTAATGTAACTTTTTTGGCTGCCTGATGTCCAAATGTCTGTGGTAAGAGCAATATACTCTACACTCTGTAATTTTTGTTTCGCTTCTGAACTGCATATGTTGTATTTTTCTTCCATCATTTCTGTTAATTTTTTTCTAGATGGCAATACATAATCAGGATTCAATTTTTTTGAATAAGCTATAAAACCTTCATTTTCTACAATTTGAAGGGGTTGCATGTCTATTGTGATGAGATCCAATAAGGCTTCATCACCAGCTTTTTGAATTATCCTATATGGGGCAGTTAATCGCATCTGTCTCGCCCGCTTTGGAGGAGGCTGGAGAGGCTCGGTAGAAGAACCGCCGACAGTATTATTTTCTTCCCGATTCTCCGTCACAGAAACTCCGGAGACACTTGGCATCGGCAAGCCATCACGGTCACTACTACTTGCAAAGTCGTTCCTGGGCCTGGGTAAATTTGCAACAACGCCAACAGCTTCACTATATTGGATAATGTGTTTTTTTTTTAGGTGGTTAATTATGGTAGTCGTATTACCATTAAATTTGTATTGGCAAGAACACAAATTGCATTGAACTTTATTATTATTGTCTATTTTCGTAAAAAACTCCCACGCCACACTTTTTCTGTTTCCCGGAGCCATATTAAACTTATGAGTCAGACAAACAATACTTAATAAACTAATAATACCGCAACAAAACAATAAATTACGAACTAAGTACTAATAACAAAAACGTAAACAAAACAAATGTCTAATCTTTTGTGTTAAAACTTTGTCATTTGTTCGCCGAATAAACGAGAGTCGAGAACTATCTCTTTCACTCGCGGCTCGCGGCTCGGACGACGCGACTACGTTTCGTTGTTCGTGCTGACTCGGGCTCGCTCGGTGTCGTTCGGGCCTCGCGAATCGCGGGCTAGACGGCGAGCAGGCGGCGGCGTCGAGTCGAACTCGAGTCGAGCGGCGCGCGGCGGGCTGGCAACCTACCCGCCCCGCTCGCCACCGCGCGCGCTCTTCGGTTCAACCCGAGTTGCAGAAATATTAACTCGGGCTGACTCGTTCACGGTCTGACTCGAGTTGCCCGAGTTAGATAACTCGAGTTGCCCATCGCTAGTTACAATAACAAAACTTGTACAATGTCTTCAATACAACCTAAGACAAGATCCTAACCTTACAGTGAATTATTTATAACTATTACCTACCTGTGCGTACTTGATATTGTACTAAATTTACTACTTGAAGCTAATCGTAACTTGCTTATACCTAAAAACTCGACTTAGCATCAGAAGTGATAATTTTAGAAGTCGTAATAATGAAATAAGCATCAGTTTCTTACCTCGTTGACACCTGAACTCCAAAGTGATCCGAGAGTTCGTTACAACTTCACACACAAAACTTCTAACTTTTGATGTTCAGTGTTTGCACTAGACAATACGAAGACACTTTAAGTTACTTTATTTCGAGTCTTTCAACTTACAAACAAGCGGTTAACAACATTATCACGTAGAAAACAAAAAAATATTCACACGCTTGACGTCGCTTTCGCCATGGTGTTGATGCACTTTGGCGCGATCTCGTGGCTTGTTTCTGAACTATTAACGTTACGTTTCTATCTACGCAAGCTACCAAAAATAATGAACTGATTGACGATTTATCAGTTGATTTATTTTTGATCAGAAAAATCTCAAAAATTTTCTGTTTCTTCTCTTTTCTGTTAATTAGTTTCAGATTCTTTTGTTTAGTTTTATACTAGATTTTACATTTTCGAATATTTAAAAAAAAGAACACTTAATAATATAAAAAGCAGTATCCCACCTGTTACGGGAGGGTTCCAAGCAAGCGGTGGTCAGGGCTCCAGAGAAAGGAATCTCCGGACAATGCGAAGTACAGGTTTATGCATCAGGGTCTTGACCCAACCATCTAACTTAAGCCTGCTTAGGTGTTTATCGAGACTTTTAGACATGAAATCATTGGCAGACCCGACTATCGGCATAATGATTGCTGCATGAATGGGTCTACATCCTACATGTCGACAATCCATGAGCTAAATCAAGATATTTACTTGCTTTAGTTTCAGATTTATTATTTCATTCTATAAGTCCTTACTTGCCTCTTTATACACTTCCTACCTAACCTTTATTATAACATCATTTACATACCAGTCTTTAGAACCAACATTTTATTTATTAATATTTATTGTGTACCTACTGAAGTTAGCAGACTTCAGTTAGGTACCAAATGGTTCATTTTAATGGAATAAGAGGCAAATGAGCAGCACTGATCTTCCGATGGTAAGCGATCAACGCCACTCTTGGACTTGGACACCTGCAACACTAGAGGAGTTATAGACGGCCTTTTAAAGAAAGAGAAGTCTTTAAGTCAGAGTTGCAGTTTTATAATAATTCCTACTAGCAGGACATATTGGTCGAAAACTCTACTTTTAGATGTTGTATATTACGGTGTATAATACGAAAAGGTATTTAAATTCATGATATAACCCCACTTTATAACAGATTTTCAAACAAATAATTTCTCTGAAAATTATTTTACTTACGTATCTACGTGCCGTACGATCTTTCGTCTACTTAGGTATTTATGGTAATTATTTCTAATTCTAAATTCTAATTAAGCAAGGTTTCCATACGATATACTATAGTAAAGTAGTAAACATGGCCATTTAATGGCACAGAAATCATTAACACTTTTCGCTCATCGTTCTCACACACCAAATACATTTACACTGGACCTCAACAGAAACTCACGACAGTCACTTCACACACGAGACTGTAGGAACTCCTCAAAAAAGGTTAATTTTCTTACTTACCGCTACGATAACAACAAGCTCGGTAGTCGGTTGAGACTGCCTTAATTGAGGGCTATTGTTTACACTACGCTATGAGATGGCCTAGGAGCTCATCCTACCACGAACAGATCGGCGCGGCTATGGAATTTGTTAGGCCCCAGCAACGCACGTCAGCATGCTAACTGAATACGCACGCGAGCGCCTTTGCCTCCACATCCCGAAGCACTAACCGGCAAGAAGTTCTCCGCTCGCCACCCACGGATCATTCGAATGGCCATGATCCTCTAGGACCAGCGTACCAGCGGGCCGCCGCCTGTAATTTGCCGTTCATGTCCCGTTGTTTACCTGCGTCGTCAAGCATTACGTTATTGGGGCGATACGCGTGGTGAAGCTTACCCTTCTTCTACGATTGCGAAAACTGATCCCTCCCTAACATGCGCTAAAGAAACTCACAAAGTAGTTATTGCTCAAAAGCCTCCGACGCCAGGACCTTGGCCTTAGCAGACGGCCCGACCCCGTAGCCCATGTTCTTAGAGGTGAGCCGGCGCACTGACGCTATCAATTCTACCTCAGTCATTGGGCACCGCAAGGGGCGTTATTGCACCGCAAGAGTTGAAGAGTCTGGTCCATCTGGACGGTACCTTTTCCTGTATGAGCACCGTAACCGGCCACGGGCCACCCCATCTAGTATTGCCGCCGCAGCTCCAGTCCGTTCCATCATAGGAGACAAATGAAGGCAATGCATCGCGCAGTTCCCCCAGCTGTTGAGGACGAAACTTAGGTACTTCATCTTTGACACCTCGTTGCTGATAACATCTCCTGTCGTAAGTCGTACCCAGCAGTGTATCGAGAACCGGTTCACGTCTCTCCATCAGCAGTGAGTCCCAACGCGAATATACCTCGCGGACGATAGATAGGTCGTGATCCGTGGGAGCAGCCGCCAGAGGGAGAAAACATAGAGCTTTTAACTCGCTCGCATCGTGTCTATTCCGGTGTTTTACACAGGAGCAAACTATTCTATGAAAAAAAAAATATATACCGAAATAATTTGTAGGAGACCTGAATCTGCCCTAGAGCAGACCAACCACTACATTTGCGATCCAAGAGAGCTGATGTTCAGCCAAGGTGGAGGGGCAATAGCGATAAGGTACCGCGGTATGTTTTCACTAACGTCTTTTACTTTAGTATTCAGGGTTATAATAATACAATAATTATTTAAAAAAAACGCTTTATTTTTATCCAGACATAGACAAACAGTATAACTATGCCAAAAAGACTGGACGTACGTGCGATTACCACACAACATTAAGTTATGTTATTTACGTCGACACATTAAATTTGACATAGAAAAATTAAATATATAATTTATTTAAACAATTATATTTTTTCACATGAAAAACTCACCTATGTCAATATCTTTGTCACGCATTACAATTCTTAATTATATGTCAGCAAACATTTATTCAAATCACTAAAAATGCAATTTTAAACAAACCAAACAAAACATTTTTTCGAGACTGTTGTTTTATATTGAGCAGGTACAAAACAGCAAACAAAATCATTCAAACCAAACAATAAAACATGACATTGCGCCTTAACTAAACACTACAAAAATGACTAAAGCAGCATGACTGTTCCTTATAACGCTACTAAAATAAATTAACTAATCAATCATAGAGGAAAAATCAAGTCATTGAGGTAATTTCTTACACAAGGAACCTTGCATTTGAAAATAGCTTACAGAGTCACACTACTCAATGTTTACGTAGGTAAATAGTTAATAAATATGTAAACAACAAAGCATGGTCAGAGTTACAATATAATAATTTTATGTCTAAAACAATTTGGTTTGCTCACCTAACGTTAACGTAGCTATATACTATCTTTATTATCTAAGCAACTAGAAGATGCAACGATACCAATTATTATTCTCAACTAATATTTGAACTTTAGGAAAAGTTATGGTTATGAAGTTGGTTACTATAGTAATTTTTGCATTACACGTAACTTATTCATACTTCTTATTAAACAATGTCGAATTATTCACAATTCGTTCGTAACAATTAAGGAAGATGCGTGTACCTTATTTTTAATTGTATTTATAATACGAAAGTATCTTAAATCTAATTATAAGCATGTTATATAATTGACGAAATTTCAGAAAGGTAAATACTCAGAAAGTAAATTATCAGAATATTGAAAACATTAACGCAACATAAGCGGTTGCTTGGTAAAATAAAGTTTTTGAAGAAAGTTTATGAATGTCAAATGATTACTGCGTGCAAGAAACAGCTTATGTATTATAAATCTACAATCTTAGAACGACGACATTTAGAAATACAAGATTCGTGAAGTAAGGCAACTCGCTAAAGCTGTCTGTGTCTACATCTATATTATAACTACTAGAATGGGTCAGCCTCTTCAAACATAGCAACCAACCTTCGAAGACTAAGTTACATATACCTAACTTTGTTAAATCTCTGAAGGAAGGTTCATAACTAGGAATGTGGACGCACTGGTTTTAAAGAGTTTTATAAACTAAGCGATGTCTGAAATGCGAGTCCCCAGCTGCTAAACAACATAGCTACAATCATAACGCGTATAGATGTTACCAGTGCCCCCTCACCTATATTGTACAATTTGTACATGTCGTTTACATCTACAAAACGAGTTCATAATTTTTTTTTTTCTATTAATATGTGAAGTTAGTCAATATACTTCAACAACAAAATATTTAAAATATTTTCACCAACCTTCTTGTTGTATTTTATCATCACAATATTTTTATCATCGTAATTTAACGGCTTTGATAATGCATGCAGTCGCAGGAGTAAGCGAGAGAACTATATGTTCTCTTCCCCAGGGTAAAGATGGACGAATTTGTTTAAAAATAACCTTCAAATCACTACATGCAATATGGCGCCGTAAAAAGGCGCGAGCTTATTGAGGATCGACTTTCCAACTAGGTGCTCATTTTGTTGAGTCCTTTTATAAAGTTAGTCATGTCATATTCTTCCTCGTATTGTTTGTCGTCCCAGAGATCGGGCAGTGTCTCGAGCACTGACTTCATGCCAGAAGGTCCTGCCGCTGACTGTTGCGAGGATTGCTGTGGCGCGCAGTTACTGCTTGATAGGTTGAACAAGTCCAGTAGTTGATCCGTACCCATTGTTTCCATTGCTGCGTTCTCACTACTGATTACTGTATTTGCTGTCAGCAGCTTGAATTTTTGTAATCTGTGGAAGGTATTTGGTTGGATTAGTTGTTTGCTGATGAAGGTGAAATGTGAGAAAAGAGTTTATTATTATTATTACGCTTTATGACATTAAAGATTATTGGTACTATAGTATACATACCCCATAATCTTTTCTTCGAGTGTATCTCTGGTGATGAGACGGTAAACATTGACGACCTTCTTCTGACCGATGCGGTGCGCTCGATCCATGGCTTGCAAGTCTTTCATGGGGTTCCAGTCATGTTCCACGAAGATAACCGTATCCGCACCAGTGAGGTTTAAGCCGAGACCGCCCACCTGTATACAAAGATAAAAGAATTCGATTTTCAAAAATTATTTGCCAATGAAGTCCGTTTTTTTGGCAATCCCTTTATTTACAAAATTGAAAGCACATTCATACTATCAAAAATTAGTTTTATTTCACAAAGTATTTGCTGACGATGGTTTAAAGGCGTGAATTTACGTTGCATCATTACATCCCACAGTAGCTTATACATATGTAAGTGAATAAATCCGTGAGCACTCACCGCAGTAGTGAGTAACAGCAGATCAATAGAAACATCGTTGTTGAATCGTGTGACTATAGCGTGCCTCTGGTGGGGGGGCACGCTGCCGTCGAGGCGCAGGTACGTGACGGCCGGCAGGTGCCGCTTGAGGAGGTCCTGCTCCACTATGTCCAACATCTTCTTCAGCTGACAGAATACGAGGGCGCGGTGCTGGGATACTACCGCCTCTGGCTCTACGTCAGATGCTGGGGTGCCGATACCACAGTCTAGGAGCAATTGTCTGGGAAAGAAGGTAAATGTTGATTTAAATTAATTTGTAAAACTATTTTTATTCTTCTTCAGAACAAAGGCTGGCACTGTTTGAGAAATATACATGGGTAGATAATACATACTTGAGCGCAGGCAGCTTGGCGGCGTGGTTTATATCGTCGAGGGAGGAGTGATGGTCCTGCAGACTGGCCGCGATGGCGCGCGCCTCGGGGTGCTCCGCCGTCAGCACTAGCTTCGGGTGGTTGCATACATTCTGCAGGTAGTGCAACGCCTGCGGGGAGGGAAAAAGATAAAAGATCATGTAAAAATATCTTTAAAATTAAATAATAAATGCTTACAAGCTTTTTGGTAAAGCTATTTACTCTAAAATGCTCAATTGTGAATTACAAAATTAGACTAAGGCTTAATTGATTCGTCTGAATATATTTTTATATTTATTTGGTAGAATGCCACTGCGGTTTTTGTTTGAAACTACCGATATTCAATTAAATAACATATTCGAAGACGATGTGTTATATCTAACAAAAATAAATATGTTGTCAAAGCTAACCTGGAACACGTGTGTATGATGTGAAGTAATGCCTTGTGGCATGTGTTCCTTGGAGAGGTCCTCGTACAGTCTTCGTTGTAGCGGGCTCAGCTCGCAGTAATAGTCCTGAGTGATCTTAGGAGGCAGTTCTTTTAGCACGTCCTCCTTCACACGACGCAGTAGGAATGGTAACACCTGTTAAAAAGATACTTGAATAAGCAAATGTGACTAAGGGGCACCATTTATCCTAAAGATCTCTGCAATACAAGCAATAGAGGTTTCAGGTTCTCTTGAATAGCAAGAATTTAAAGTAAAATTATTTTGGATTGTTACCTGTCGATGCAAAGCCTCACAAGCTAACGCCCCAGCCTGCAACTGATGCGGTGTTGCTTTAGCGTCCCTCGCGGCGAGTATGGGTCGCGAGTAACGCGCAGTAAATTGCCGCTCAGTGCCCAACAGGCCGGGCATTAAGAAATCGAACAAAGACCATAGCTCCAATACATTGTTCTGAAAATGAAAACGTTTTAATGTTACAATGGTTTAAAAATGCACTAATTAAAATTGAGACAGTTGCAACAAAACGGTATTTTTACTATTTGAATTGAAAAGCTTGAGCTAAATTACCTGTATAGGAGTTCCCGAAAGAATTAATCTGTGGTTGGCAACGATTTGTTTGATAGCTTTAAACACTTTCGTCTTCCCATTCTTTATGACGTGACCTTCATCCAATATGCAGTAGTTCCACTTAATACTGCTGAAGAAATCAATGTCCTTTCTCACGATGTCATATGAGGCGACGATGAAGTTATAATTTTTGACGTGATGACGTAACCGCTCGCGTTCGTAAGGTATGCCGACGTATTGGAGAGGCTTCAGGAACTTTGAGGGTATAAACTTGTTCACTTCGAATACCCAGTGTCCTGAAATTCATATATTTTGTGTCTATTATATTGAAATGCATATGGTATTTTCTTTTTTATCTATATAAATGAAGGAAGTGGAGAAGAATTGCTACTGTCAGTTGTTTTTAGTATTAATTTGTAGTGTCAATGTTTATAAGTGTACCACAATGAGAATTAGAATCTAAACGAGACCTAATGTAGTTTTTACTGTGGACAGTGAGTTCTAGCGGTCTTGAGGTCAATCTATTAAATTGTACGAGAGTTTGAACCATTTAGTCATTTTTTATGGATTTAGTAGGAAAGTTATGTGATGCCAATTGAGATATTTGCTTCAAAATGAGTCGCTTGATTCCACTTTACAAACATGTATGGCAAGTTAGCAAAAAAGTTTGTAATAAGGAGGTGTACCGGTGAGCGTGGGAGGGCAGACGACGAGCGAGGGCAGCGCAGGCAGTCGCTGCGCGTTGCGCTCCCAGTGGGAGGAGGCCACGACGACGATGGACTGCAGCGTCTTGCCCAGGCCCATGTCGTCGCACAGCACGCCGTGCAGCTTGTACGAGTACAGGAACCGGAGCCAGTTCACGCCCGCCTGCGAAGTCATATCATATTACTTTGTAGGGTTTTATCGCTAAAATATGGTTGACAATACAAAAGGAACTTGTATACCAAATATCTAAGATTAATTATAGGATTCTTATATTAAAAGAAGTCTCAAATATTGTCATTTAGTTTTTTATTTCTCTGATGCGATTTGTTACTATACAATACTCATCATAATGATTAGCAATTCCCACTTACTTGTTGATAAGACCTCAATTCTGCGGACACGGGTACGGGTATCTTGTAATCTTTGATGGACTTTGGGTTGAAGAGTTGCTCGAGGAACTGTTTGTCATGTCGGCGACGCGCCTTGAGCTCTGGCGTGAGGTCTGGAGGCTCCGCTATTCCACCATCCAGCGGCATCAGCTGTATAAGGGACGCGAAGCACCGCGTTGACATTATCCGCACTGCCTCGCAATGATCGCTCATTCGTCCTGCAAGAGAAATTTGGGATTTATTAACGAGGTAGTTTATAACATTTTTTCTTCAAAGTTCCCTTGTCAAAGATATGTTATTCATTCATCTTGTCTGCCATGGTGACAACGACCAAGGAACACCAATTCTGTTTTCATACTAGAAGAGGACTTGAGTTTTTATTTTGGTGGTATATTTCCATCAACTTTGTCGAGCATAATTATGTTGCGTGTAGAAGCTTATCCTTCACGGCTATGTATATAGAAACCTTAGTTATATGTATAACCCGTTAACTCACCTAACAAAGGTACGACTAGTAGTACAATGTACGGGACAATCTGCAGCTGTAACGCGTCTACGACTCGGGCCAATGCTTCCGCTGCACCACATCGTACATAGTCACTGCGTAAGTCGCTCAGTGCCGGTATCACCTGTAAATAATACTTTAGGTTAATATTGACTGTGCAATATGCTTCAGTTAAGATAATATTTGTGGTGCCTTTTTTCATGAGAGGAAACTCATTAAATGAATTCTTCCGCCAGGGTGAAGGGAGTGTCAGACTCTTACTGACCAAAAACTTTCCCGTTCCTTTTCTAGCTCTAGGCCGAAGCTGCGGTGAAATCTTTTTTGCGTCATTTTATTATGTTATAGGATGGTATTACCTGATGGTAAGCAATCAGCGCTGCCCATGGACACTCACAACAATGGAGGAGTTTACGAGTTAGTTGCCGACCTTTTGAGGATTAGGGATTTGAAGATTTTGGGGTTGGGGAGGGATTGAGCGTCCGGTAACGCTGGTTTTGTTATTTGCGCTTATGTGTGACGTGAAAATCAGACTAGTATCAGAAGTTACATAGGTGTATGATGCAAGATAGAATGAGGGGCATAATCGGACCTCGTGTATGAGCGCGTGCATGGCGCCGGGGTAGTGCGCGTGGCAGAGCGCGGCGAGGGCGCGCGCGGCCATGTGTCGCAGCGCGGAGTAGACGGAGCGCGCGAGTCGTGCGGCGCGCGCGGCGGCGGGCGCGAGGCGCGCGCGCAGCCCGCCCGCCAGCGCGCCGCACACGCACTCCAACACCTGCAGCCGGCTGATTATCTCCTCCGCCGCCGCGCTCTCCTGCGACTCCAACTCTGCCGACCATAATTCATATTATAATAACCACACAAGCACTAACTGTTCTTAGTATATTACTAAAACCGTCAATATAAAAGCGACTATTTCATTAATCAATCTTTTAAAACATATATTGTACAACTTGGATAATTCATTGATCAAGAAACCACAAGGAAAAATTGCTTATCTATACAAAAATATATTATTTGTTAATTTCAACACGCTAATCTCCAAAACTACTAGTTCGAATTGTATAATTCTTTTTTTGTTTACCCATTTATCAAGAAAAGCTATAGGATATAAAACATCACACTACGATCTGTAGGGTAGCCAAGCAGTGGATAAAAACATCCAAAATTATTTCAACTACTTTATAACTAAACGATATTTATACATATCTAACTCACCACTATCAGTCATAACTCTTTCGAGCGGCTCAGTAATAAACTCCCACAGTTTCGGCAGTTTCTCCGGCAACTCTTCACCGAAGTACGTCGCTAAACTAGTCAGGGCCAGCGTAGCCCCACGTCTTTGTATCCTTAATAATTTGCGAGCCTGAAATTATATTACGAATAATTTGTAAACATTATACTGTATATGGAAGTTGTATTATTCAATTTTAAAAATATACATGTGTTCTACATAGTTTTAGTTAATAATGTTTACGGAACATGGACGTGGGAATGCATGCTGCCGTGTTTTATGAATGAATTACCTATGGAAATCTGTAAGACAATAAATATAAAAAACTGCTCAAAAGTGTTGAAGAGATACTTCTTGTCATAATGCGATCGAGAGAGTATATTTTGTTCTTACTGTGTATGTCTTGTATACCTGCTACTTTATTTTGTGTTTTGGCACCGAGTTGTCGCTTCTGACATACTGCTGTTAAATCCTCGATGGTTTGTGCTGGTATATATATGTATACAAGTTAATATGATTGTATCAATGTTGTTGTTTAATGAACGAGAGAAAAAGTTAGTTAGAGTTAGACAAAGGACTTCATGGCATGTAAAAATGGAATGCAATTTTTTTAAATTTATTTTAGGTGCATAATTTCTCTAGTATTTGTAAGGTGTTTTCATGCATAGAAACTACTTCTTCAATCACTATATCTATTAAAAAAACATTGGGTTAAAATCCGTTGCCTAGTTTAAAAGATTTAAGCATATTATAGAGACAGAGATAGCGACTTTATTTTATATTATGCAGTGATATTTTAACGTCTTCGTGACGTTCACTTCCACCAAATATTTATTGCATGATGTTTATGGTACAGTAAGATGTGTGAGGCAGTAAGTGTGCAGTACCTCGTCCTCGTGTGGGGGCGCGAGGTCGGCGGCGAGCGAGGCGGCGGGCGGGCGGCCGCGGCGCGGGGCGCTGCCCTCCGCGCGTCGCTGCTGCTCCCACAGCGTCACTATGCCCGCGTGCGCGTCCACTACACGGGGGAACCATAGCGCCATTATTACAACAAAATATCATCTACATTTTTTCTTTCTTGCAAACATTAGGTACCACCTACTAGGCACGCGAATACCGGGACAAAGTCTTTATCGGTTATTAAACTCGCTACCCGTGACATATTAAAAACATAATATTTATAACATATACTCACTACACAAACTGCTTAGGCAATGTATAGAAACTTCGAAAGTAGTTTCGTATGAATTTATAAAAAAATACATTAGTTCCTTTGTAACATTAATATATAGTGTAACTTACTACTACGTACTATTAATATGTAGTGTAACTAACTTTATTATGAAACTAGCTTCCGCCCGCGGTTTCAACCGCGTAGTATGTTGATAAAATGTAGCCCATGTCCTATTCCGACGTGTATCCTATGCCCAGCCGTTTTGGCGAAATTGAGTAACAGACATTCAAACATCGTAACTTTCGTTTTTAGAATATTAGTAAGATTTGAACAAGACATTACTTGATTAAGGTACTAAAAATGTTAATAAGCAGTATACATACGCGCTGGCACATTGGACATTTGTTCCCCTTTGCCCTCGGGTCCGCTGTCCCCGCTGCCCGAATCTCCGTTGGTCTCCTCTGTATTTTCTAACGATATCCGCGGCGTGTACTCAGGATCGCATCTGAAAAAAAAACATATTTATAAAATTAATACCTTTAATTAATTTATTAATACATTTAATTTTTAATTCAAGAACCATATAAATATTTGAAAATCCTATAAATATTTGAAATTTCTAGCAAATATCTACACACAATTAACGAAACTTTTCGAAAAAACTAGTATTTTATATGACGTTTACAGATTTTCTCTTTTCAATGTAAACAATAATATCTTATAGTTTTAATAGAGAAATAGCTACCTGAGAAACGCCTTAAGATTGACGAGCACCTTGTTGTTGGGACAAGGGTCTCTATCGACGAGCTGTGACAGTAACACGGCGAGGGTATCGGCCGAATTCTGTTGTAATTCCTCTGAGGGTTCCTTCTTGATGCTCTCCATCAGTGGTCGGATTACTGGGTTCAGTTTCTCAGGTAACAAATGGAGGTTGGCACAAGCTCCCGCCAGCGCCGCTTGCACACTGGAAAAATTAAAAATGAAGTTTAAATTAAATATATCTGAATTAAATTAAATACGTCACTTATAAGACTTTACATAATGCAAACATTCTAAATTAATGCTTTAACTGCACGTACAGAAATTACTGGCTATTAATAGATAGATTTATTTGGTTGTACATATTACACTAGCTACATTCGCGCCGTTTCCCTTAGCTCCTACATATCGTTGTGTAATGTTTTAGCTTACAGTCTTCCTCCATAAATGGACTAACTAACACAAAAAGAATCAAATTCAATACTTTTATCCAAACTTCAAAAACGATACGTTTCTATGAAATTTGTATGAAAAACTGAGTAATGACGTCATAGCATTTTTGCGTCAAATAGCTTACTTATTTCTTAATAATTAGCTAAAAATATCTAAATCTTAGTGTATCGATCGATCGATGAATAAAAGTATACTTATTTTTTAATATTTTATTGTATTGAAACGTCGAATTAATAATTTTTGACCTAGGAAACTACCCAATTGTTTAATTCGAACCGGTAGTACTGGAGATTAGCGTGTTTAAACAAATAAACTATCAGCTTTATAATAGTAAGTAATTAAGTACATATTAGTATCGATGAAGAGTTGCCTCTTTATTTATATAATATTGGATACATTAAGTAAGGTTTAAGGTCAAGGACACAGGCTAATTCACCAATGAAAGCCACGGATAGAAACAAATACAACTCTCAATTCTCAAAATCAACCTGTCAGTTTAATAAACTTACGAGACATTAAGCGATCCCTGTTCAATGGTACAGAGGTTGACAGCGGCCTGCAAATTCTTGCGTCTTTCCTCCAACGTCTGAGCTACTCGCTTCAGCTTCATTGCGGCCACCAGCGGCTGCGACATCGTCGTTAGGTATGCTACCTGGAATATTACAAACATATATTTATTAACGAAGAGAAACAACAAACGAGACTTTTAAAGAATACGTCATGACGTTTAAATTAGAAATGTTCTACTACTCGGCTCTCGTGGCGACGTCCAACTTCTGTTCAGTTCCTTCACGTGAGTAAGCAGTTTTATTTTTAAATACAGAATAACTCGCGATAGTTACTTTAAAAAAATAGATATGCGCCACCACGACGCACGCTATAGTTGTGAGGTTAATAGAGGTTGCATATTTTGAATGTGAGATCCACTTTTTAGTTACTCTTTGTATTTTGCGTTATAAGCGATGAGTCTATCAAATGATAGTTGTAATTATCATCAGTAAGAATGATTGAGATTTATGTATATATTGATAGCTGCAAAATCACCTTATGTCATGTCACCATATAATCGATCATACCATTAAGACTTTACGACTAATGAAAACTCTTGGTTCCTCTACAGATTGCTATTGCAGGTTTGAATAACTAATAATTATTATGATGCAGTGAATAATAGTACACGAAACATAAGCTAGATGCTTTCAGTAAAAATATGTTAGTAATGAGAAATAATAACCTGTTCCAGCCTCAAGATATTGCTCAATTCTTCTCCGTCGACAGGTAATTTGTAATGCTTCATCATAGCGTGTAAATCTCGAGCTTCTTGTAGTATCCTGAAAACATGCATACATACTATACAAATATAAAAATACTACAAGTTTATTGCTAACTAAATATGTTCGTAGATATATTCACGAATGGACTGTTATAAGTCGAGTGATAAGACGTCTTTACACAGACCATCAATGTGAAACAATGCTTGCCTTATGTTTCTTTGAGTGAGCTCGAAACCGTACCGGAAGCCCAATACTACAAATCCGGCAATATACTTGTACATCTTCTAGAGTTGTATGTGCCCATAGGCTAAGATTGCTTGCCACCAGTTGACCTGTCTGGTCGTTTGCTGCCCAAAAAATAAACAATTATAATTTAAAAACAGGAATTAGTTGTACCTGTTACAGTTGAGCGCGACCTCGTCGTAGTACAGAGCCTGGTTCAGCGCGGTGTGTAATGTGCTAGCGAGTAGTGGCGGCGCTAGTTTCGATATTGGATTCTGTTCTTCACTACTTTGTTTATTGTCAGCTTGGTTTTCCTGTAAAAAGGTAGTCACAATTGTAATTAGAGAACTGCTTTATGAATAAAATTTGAAATCAGAGTTACATTTTATTTAAATTATTTTATTTAGCTGAAATTAAGGTAATTAAATATTACTACTGTTCTTATTCCAAAAAGACATAGTTATAATTCTCAAAACTGAAAGAATTTTTAAAATCAATCGGTAGAGTGGTTCAGAGACTATTGAATTTAAACCAAAACATAATCAATCTTTTCTCTTTAAAATAATAATACAGATTTATTGAACCACTCTTCAAACAATTCCACGTCTGACCAAAGTTGCAGGGAGCCGTTGGAGCAACGCTCTCATATTTGGGGAAGGTTTATGTTGAGCAGTGGAATTTTGTAGCTGATATAATGAAACGAGAAACATTTAACATTGGTTAAATATTTTTAGTATATTTACATGGTAAAGGAAAGCATAAATACCTTAGTCCCGGTGTCCCCGTTGAATGTGAGTGTGGGCGGGTACATGTGTTTGTCCCGGGAGTATCGCGCCCAGCTCGACACCACGAGGCTGCCCAGCAGGCGCTGTAAGGCACTGCCTGATCGCAGGTATACTACCATCACCTATAAAAAGTATAAAGAACATTATTTTCCTTGTTAATATTGGAAACGACTAGTTACTGTTGTAAACGAAACGGAAGTGGAATCCTATAGTAATAAGATTAAAAAACGTTTTAGACGTTTTTTAACGTGTCAAAAGTTTCAGTTATTTCAAACCACTCTTTTTCTTAAAGGTCTATCGTTTTTGGGCTTTCACTGGATTGTCATAAGACAATAGGAAGGAACAGGTTATTAAAATGAATACTTTCAGTTGTTCATTTCACGTACCTTAACATAACAGTCTATAGGGCTCTCATCTTCAGCTTTGTACTCTATACCAGGTGCAGGTTGAACTAAATAGCAGGACAGGTAACCTGGAAAATCAATCATCACAATAAATAAGATTAACATTTTCCTAGTACTGCTTCTACATACATTATACAAACTTCACAATATTTAACGGTTTTTGTTTCAAATTCATTGACTTGTTTATATTCGTAAAAACATAGTTTCTGGGTATAGTGGTTTTGTTTATAGAGCAGTAACGCTGATCCCCGAAATAACGGATTCCAGTTCAATATTTTAGAGTTAACTATATCAAGTAAGGTTTGAGGCCGGAGAACATCACGCTAAGACGAATAGGAGCTGAGCAGCGCGGGATTAGCAAGTTAAGTATGTACCAAGTATTTGCGCGGCGAGACAGCGCGCCCGCATGACGTTCCTGTCTCGGGCGGCGCAGGTCTGCGACTCGGAGCCCCCCACGTACCACTTGTGGCACGGCCGGGGCTCCCCAGCCGACTCCGCGGGACCCGCACCGCCCTCCGACTGAGAGTTCGTGCGTGCACGTCGTTCCTGGAAACAACGTACGTATTGATTACGGCCCATATACCCTAAATAGGTTAAATCGTATCTTGTGAACAAGTATAATCAATGCATGTAGCAACGTCATCAGCGTTTCTGGGATATTCTACACTCTAATAAATGTAAATAAATCGCTAAACGACAAAAAACACAAAAGCATATACGTCCTCAAAAAGTTTTTCATGAATATTAGGAGGAAGTTACCCTGGGAGGTGGATGCAGTAACAGTGCAGGTTCGACGGGTAGTCGCGCGGGCTGCATGGCCAGGCATAGCCACGTCGCCAGCATTGGACACGCGGCCAGCAGGATCACCCCTAACGAAGCGTACTTTAGGAAGTTCTCCCAAACCTGCAAAGTAAAACATATAGTTAGGTACAATTTAATAAGTCTAACCACATATTTATGATAGTTATATGCACGGAATAGAAAATACAGTGGAAGTGCCGTTCAGACATCGCGCGCTAACCAACATGATGACTAGATATACAACATTTTGGCACATTTGTTGTCAGAATCGTTCGATCCGTTGTCATGATTGGTTGTCATGGTTGTCTCTAAGAAACACGAAATATATTAGAAATTATGCTTTGTTGTGCGGTTTTCAACTGCAAAAAAGTAAGCAGAAAAAAAGATGAGTCTTGTGGTGGTGTATCGTATCATCTTTGAGTATTAACCTTTGTTAATTTTAAATATATTTGATTTTAATGTAAATATCACATTTCATTACTTCAATGCAAACTATAAAGGGCCTTATATTCATTACAATTAAGTTTAAATCTACTTGTTCGTTATGTGACGTTATATACAATACATTCTAGTAGTTTCGACGCTACTCATTTAGGGATGCGACATATTCGTAAAATAGGTTCATATCGATAATTTTTCATCATCATCGTTCAGAAAATTGATTTTTGACAATTTTTGTGTATAATTCATAAATGTTTAACTAAGATTGCATAGACACATCAACGTTTTAACCACACACAGCGTGCATCCGTCTGTGGCAGGTGCGGGTGGTTAATCACCATTTTTATTTTATAACTAGTTTTCGCCAGCGGCTTCGCCCGCGTGCTGTGTTGATAAAAAGCAGCAAATAGCAATATAACAAAATCTAAGTATACATAAAATTTGGTATTTATCGTCTCATTTTTATACATCTCCAATGAGTAAATACCCTATTACTTACTAAGTCTCCGCAGTCCGTCCGTCTATAGATAGAAAGGCACGGATCTAACTAATAGGTAAGAGTTACAAATATTTGATAAAACCTATATTATATTATATTTTATACCGCATCGTGTCGAGCACGGCAACCGCTACACAAAAATAATTCACTTGCGACGGCGCTATGTCTTATTATCCGAATTGCTAAGCTATCAGGAGTTACACGTGCTATTGTGAGTTAACCATAAACGATAGACATATGCTGTAAAACATTTTTTTAGACAATTTTATTTAAAATATTTCCGTCATACATAATTTCTATGTTAGTTTAACCATTAAGGTTACACACGCGACTGAAACTTACAAAAGGGAGTAACTTCTCCCGTTTTCCCAACATTTTCCTTCACTGCTCTGCTCCTATTATTTGTAGCGTGATAAAAAGTATCCTGTAACCTGCCCAGGAGTATAAAGAATAATTTGTACCAAGTTTTGTTAAAATCCGTCGAGTAGTTTTTGTTTCTATAAAGAACATACAGACAGACAGACAGACAGACAGACAGACAGACAGACAGACAAAATTTTTACTGATTGCATTTTTGGCATCAGTATCGATCACTAATCACACCCTGGTAGTTATTTTGAAAATATATTTAATGTACACAATTGACCCCTCTACAGATTTATTATAAGTATAGATTTTTATCAGAGTTCCAAAAAGGACTCTCAATTCGACGGTAACATTTATTATTTGTTTTTTCGTCTCCGTTATTTATGAACGATTTTAATGATTCTATTTTAGTTGGAAAGGAGATAAAACTTGTAGGAGCGCGTAGTGCTTTTATATGTTAAAATCGAAATCTTAAATAATAACTTGACCATCTCCAAAAAACATTAAATCTTCAAAAAATATTTTTTTTTTTTATGTAATATCTCGGCATACGAGCAGACGGATTACCTGATGGTAAACAATCAGCGCCGCCCATGGACACTCGCAACGGAGGAGTTACGAGTGCGTTGCCGACCTTTTAGGGATTAGGGATTTGGAGATTTAGGGATTGAGGAGGGATTGGGGAAGGGGAAGGATTGGGCCTCCGGTAACCTCACTCACACGGCGAAACAACGCAGTGGTTATTTCACGCCGGTTTTCTGTGAGGCCGTGGTATCACTCCGGTCGAGCCGACCCATTCGTGCCGAAGCATGGCTCTCCCACACTTAAATATGTTAATATTTTTCTTTTTTTCTATTAGAACCTTTTTCATTACTGATCATTTGTAGGTATATCGTGTCGATAAATTATATTGCTCACACGAATACAAAAACATCGATATATTGGGATACCCTGTCCTATCTGAGTAGCAAAATAGTAAATGTCTATTGGTACAAGTGCATACAAATATGACATCTATTTCAAAGAAGTTAGCGTTTTGAATAGAATGAATTTGTTACAGCGCCATCTAGCGTTGAGTGGCTGAACCCGTTTGTAAATTGTTTTATTTAAGTTTTTTACACGATAGACGCCTTTATTAATTGTGACATGTGAAATGATAACAACTTTCGCTCATTGTTATAAGACTCAATTTTTAACAACATTTAGAAGATCATTTGCTAAAGTTGCGTTTCATCTTTTTACCCAATTATATAGCTGTTTTTTATGTGTGTAATGGACAATTTGATTTGCGAATGTGTGATTTTGGCGACACTGGTTTTCCTTTTGAAAGAGTGTAGGGGCACTTCTACTTAATTTTCTGTTCTGTGGTTATATGTATGTATTTAAGACTAAAATATGAAAATTGCAGATTATTTCAAAAAAAATTAAAAGTTTATAAGTTTTTTATGACCATGAATGTGGGGAAACTGTATAAAATCTTCAATACAAAACAAAACCCTAACTAATTAAAAAGTAAAAAATCTTTCAAACTCCTAAATCATCAGCGGAAGAATAATAATTACGTATTACCACAAACCTGCACAGCAATCTCCTGTATCTCATGAACGTGTTCAAACAGTACCCTCTGGTATATGTGCCGCATCGCTTCCTGTAGCAACTCGGGCGTCCAGTTCAGGTACTGCTCCTGTTCCCCGTTGGTGACGTCATTGTTTCCATTGGTTACGTCACTGTTCCCGTTTGAGTCCGTCCCGTTTTTGGTTGGCTGGTTTGTGACTAGAGGTCGGGTCAATGTACGTAGAGTTTGTAGCGTGGCCTTACGGACGGAGCTCGTCGAGTGATCGAGGTATGGCCACAAACGGGGTAGTACGTCTGCCAAGTCGATTGGACTGTGGACAAGTGATTTTGTATTGTTATTATTTAGCTTTGGTTTGTTACATGTCGTTAATGTAATTTTAATTGCCAATTTTATACGCTTTTGCTATCGTAAAATTCTAATAGCAATAGAATAAAAGCGGTATTTATTTTATATAATGAATACATATCTTACATAATGTTCACGCAATTTAATGACGTTATGTTTAAAAAGTTTTAGAAAAAGGTGGTGATTGTGTAAATATGGCATTAACACATTCAGTGCCCTCGACGCACCTGTGCGTTCTATACATTAATGTATTGAACGCACAGGTGCGTCAGGGGCACTGAATGTGTTAAAAAGCATCACAGAAATTAAACCCGTACAGTCATTACAAAAAAAATATTGATTAATTCCTTTTAGTAAAAAATTATGCCAGCATTTATATCAGGGATGCTTTCTGCTGTATATATTATAGATCCAGGTCGGATAGTTCGATATGACCTGCAACACTTTTCTGGGGGACCTTTACCAAGGTCGCCTATCCATTTAAGGGTAGTATTGGTAGGTACTATAAAAATACTTACTGCAACATGCTAGCAGGTTCCGGCAATGCCATTAACGCGGCTAATAACGCCATATACGAGTTGGCAGGTGAAGCAAGATCATCTTGGTCAGCCAGTAACCTCCACAGCCGTGCTACTACTGTCTTCACGGCCCCCGGGCGCCGCCGGCCCAGGGCCGCCGCCGCAGGGGCCAGGGCCCCGGCCGCCACGGCCGATACATCTTCTGCAGAGTCACCCAGACCTTGGATTAGGTATTCTAAGGCACCACTCTCGCATGCTACTTCCTGAAATAATGTTAGAGTCGAACTTAGTAAAGTAGTAGGTACAAATTTGTCACATAATCGTGTGATAAAATGATACAAATACAAAATTCTTTACTGTGGTACATAGGTAAGCAAATAGGTGTTATATGTTTCAAAGATTGTACATAACTATGACCCGCCATAATGGCATACAATATATTTAAGTATGTAAATGATAATCAATGACATGATCTTCAATTTATTTATTTGAGGGATCCAAGACAATATTCATGACCTGAAAAACACGACATTGTTTCTGGTTAGTCTTTATTATTTTATTATTTATTGTAGATACTCGCTTACAGGAATTGCAACGGGTAGGGGAGGTTGTGGCATGCAAACTCATTAAAAAACAGCATAAACTGTGGAATAATCACACCGCAATTTTTCGTCGTGTGAGTGAAGTTACCGAAGGCCCAATCCCTCCCCCTATCCCATCATTTCCCAATCCTTAAATATCCGAAACTCTCATCCCTAAAAGGTCGGCAACGTACTCGTAACTCCTTTGAAGTTTCGGGTGTCCATGGGCGGCGCAGATTGCTTACCATCAGGTCTTATCACAAAAAAAAATGATAATATGGCACAGACCTGTCGCGCGGCGAGTAGGTACTTGAACCCGAGCAGCGCGCCGTGTCGTGCCTCCCACTGCGCGTGCGCGGAGAGCGCGGCGAGCAGCGCGGCGACGCGGCGCACGCGCAGCGCGCCCAGCTGCGCCAGCGCCACGCCCAGCGTCTGCGCACACGTCTCGCGCACCGGGGCCACCACCTGCACCACACACACTTTATTCACTCACTAATGATAATTGTACTTATTTACGAAGGGACAGTGCATTAACTTTTTCCGTTCAATAACATCTACTATACCTCTCCGAACTGTAAATAAATAAATATACATATAGTATAGAGAACATATCTATATATATAAAAGGAAGTCGTGTTAGTTACTCCACTTACAACTCAAGAACGGCTGAACCGATTTAGCTGAAAATTGGCAGGCAGGTAGTTTAGAGCCAGGAGAAGGACATAGGATAGGATAGAATAGGGTAGGTAGAGTAGGGTAGTAGGTAGAGTAGGGTAGGTAGTCAAATGACGGGAGCGACGCCGCGGGTAAGAGCTATTTTTTATTAAATGTAAAAATTTTACAATTACAGAATCTTATAGGTTCTCAGTGTGAGTGTAAGATTGTCCAAATTTAATTATTATAATATAAGACAATTCGTTGGAATTAATCTCTTAAATTATAATAATATTAAAATAAAATGTATCTTATTCTTACTAACTCACTAATTATAAATGTGAATGTTATGTAGGCTACGCGACGTCGCCGCGTCCGCGCACGCTGCTCATGAGGAAGAACCCCTCTGTGGTTCGAAACTAGTAGAGCTTTTCTCAATATATACACGTGAGTATACCGCGATTTTTAGTTAATTTAGTATGTCTCACGATAGTTATTATAAAAAACAATGTTATGTTGTTTGGATTTTTGCATGTTTGTTAATCAATCACGCCAAACCTGCTGATCTCGATGAAATTTGGCACAGGCATAGGATACACTCCGGAATAGGACATAGGCTACTTTTTATCAACATACCACGCGGACGAAGCCACATCCGGAAGCTAGTGTATATAGTGTAATATTAATTACCTGATCAGACACAAAGTCTCCGAATCGATCTAATGCGAGCACACACAGCAGCCTGAGCGCCATGTCTTCCAGCCACTCTTGATGTGCTTGCTCCATCTGTAATGATATAAAACAAACAATATTAGCCACGTTCGACCAAAGGTTACAATTTATTCCAAAAATTACTTGCAAATATGTTAAAACGAAAGTTGTTTTTGTGACAGAAAATGTCAACGTACAACCTGTTGGATTGGAGCTTGTCAGATATGAATACCTTGCTTGGTCGCGGGACCTCCTTTTTGTGTAACAGGGAACTTAATTTAATGCTCCTTAAAAATCAACTTACTTCCTCACTGGTCATGTTAACATCCTGTCCAGCGGAGCTAACGATCTTCGCCCGCAGTAGTTCTCGCAGCGCGCTGGCAGCGCCGTGTCGCGCCTCCCACGACGCACTGAACAGCTGTGCCTGCAGTGCTCCAGCCCACGCTTCGAGAGGCCATCGGGTGCAATCCACCCAGGAACCGCTACAATCTGGTACTGGTGCTGTAGCCTCGACTGAGAATAGAAAGGCAAATAGCTCAGTTTTATTATCACAAAAGTAAACTCGTTGATAGCCAGTTAGATTTTACTCTATTTTAATAGATAGAAAGTAAAAATCTGTGTGTATCTTACAAAGCACAGCCTGGCGATGGCTGTAGAAAAAGTATCGAGAACCCTCATTAAGTACCTATATCAACGAAATATACTTCCCGTTAAGTAAATACTTATCAAGAAGTTCATGTGGCGTTGAAAGTGTTGATAATAATATTCAACTATACAATATACTATATTTAAACTGACATTAAAATTCTTCAGCGTAAAGGTAAAAGTATGTCAACCGCAGCCACCAATCCGCTCAATACAAAAGCGCTACCGTAATTATGCATATCCGTATATTATCATTATTACAATAAAATACACCGGAGTTACTGCATTTAATATCACTTGAAGGTCAGCAGTGGCTGTGTATAACAATTAAATCGTATACTGTGATAAAATATAAAATGTAATTGCTTGATATTACGTATTCACAATATTATTTTACATAATTACATATTATTGAGCACATCTTGATCGTAAATCCGACAGTTAATTTTTCGAGCCGCACGCGATTTATTGGTTTTCGAATTAGAAATTATCATTCTCACGAAGTTTGAAATAGCACCGGTGTTGGGCAGTAAACTTATAAAAGAAACGTCAACTATTGTGCAGTTTTTTTTTTTGCACACATTAAGACACACCGTTGAACGTGGGGAAATATCAAACTGATCAAGACCATTTTTTTTTCATAGATTTTGTATAGCTAACGCTGAAAAGATGTTAATGAAACACCTAAACTTAGTACCAAAACGTAATCAATCATGGTCTACCAATTTAACAACATAGATCGGGAAGAGGCAGTAATAATGGCGTAAAATCGTGAAAAACTGCCTAATTAACTTATTTCGAAACACACTCAACTAGCTACTCTCGTAGCGTGATGTTTTAAAGCATATACCACTCAGGAACATTGTAGCTATCTATCAGTGAAAGAATTTTCGCAATCCGACCAGCGGTTCCAAAGATTACCCCCTACATACAACCTTACAATATCTTGACATCTTTTACATTTAGATATGCCATTCAGTATGTACTAAATATAAATATAATAAGTATGTAATAAATACCGTTTTAGATTAATCATTCAAATCAAATACATCGTGTTCGTTACATAAAATGTATCGTGAAACGTGACGTCAGTAATACACTCACGTAATCAAATGATGCAAAATGTTACACTCGATATGAAATGGTTAGAAGCTAGAACATATAGCAACGACCTAAGCATTAGTTAACGTTTAATAGGTTTTAATGAAGTGAATAGGACCAAGTAGGCGTAGCTAATTTGAAGTAGGTCGATGTATCACGCGACTATTTGAGGTGCAGACTTCAGACCTTTAAGGTTTTTTTTGTGAGGGGAAAATCATCAAATGCCTTCTTCAGCCCAGGGTCGGGCGGGAGGGAGTGTCAAACTCTTACTGACTAAAAGCCCCCGGCCGAGGCCGCGGTGTCTTATTGCGCTTGCGCAGTAACCCCGGCTGAACATCAGCCCTATTATAGGGCCCCGTATGTGGGCGTCTATTGGCTAGACATTTTAGGTCTCATGACGACGTAATTACAAGAGCAATATAGGACAAAACCTATAACACATCATCAGCTCATCAAGTGCCTAGTAAACCCAGCTGAGTAAAAACTTCTCACACGGAGAAGGTATGAAATAAAACAACAACGCTTGCTCAAGGCGCAAAGCAAAACCCGGACTAAGGCAATTCAAACCTAACATTAGAAATAGTAAGTTCAGGTTTCCCCACAATGTTGTCTCTCACACACGAAAAAGTCACATTGATACTTGTCAGGGGCCTAGGGAATGCAACCCGGTTTTACCGAAATTCGAAAACCCGGGTTTTTGTGATATTTTAAACGATAAAAAAACTCGATTTTTTTAACCACGTTACCGGTTTTTCGGTGTTTTCGGTTTTTTTAATGGCACTGTCAAAGTGACATTTACGCTCTCAAGAAAAAGACAACTGAAGACTAGGCTGCATGGGCTCACGCTCTTTGCCTTCCCTTACATGGGAGAATCATAAAGAAAAAAGGGATGTTTGTTTAGGTATTATTACTCTTCTCTGTGGTTTGTTTCTATAATTTAATAGGTTTTAGCTATTTTCGAAGTAAAAAATATAGAATTAAAGTAAATTTATCGTACAATTTCAAGTGTTTATCGTGCAGTACAGTTTTTTCTGTTATTTAAATATTATTGTAGGTAGATGCACTAGAGTACAGACTTTAAAAAGTAAAATATTCTTTAAGCAATGTTTAATGATTTGTTATTTTCATTTTCAGTATCTTAGCTGTAGCTGTTCTATCAACATGATAATTATGTTTATTCAGTGAATTACTTGTCTAAAGTTGATTATTGTAAGACTGATTGTTAACGATTTCATAGTTTTCGTAATAAATAAATTAAAGTTATTTTCCTTTGATCACGATTTTTTATTCGTTTCCATGTAGTTAATATAAAAAAGTACTTACAAAAAAAAAAAAACTCGTTTTAAATCCGATTTCACCAAAACCCGGGTTTTTTAAAATAGAACTCGAAAATAAACCCGGTTTTAAATTTTGGCGGGTTTTGCATTCCCTCAGGGGCCACCACTTCAGCAAGTAAAGCTATATTAACGCGTTATGTAACGTTTATAGCGTGGTATACATATAGGTACCTAAAGCATGATTGTATAAACGTATCAAGTTTAAGCTAAAGTTTATTCATCGTAAATTGAAATGAAATGTGTATTTCATTAGCCGTTTATTTGGTAATAAATGTTTAGTGCAAGTAGTTGGAAGCTTAATAATTACCTTTGTACCCAATTATTAACAAATCCTATTTCAATAATTATGTAAATCCAAACTAATATTATAAATGCGAAGTTACTCTGTCTGTCTTTTACCCCCGCGCCTAAACTTCTGAACCGATTTCTGTGAAATTTGGTACAGACATAGTTTGGAACTCGAAAAAGGACATAGGATAGTTTTTATACCAAAATCTGCAAGAAGTCACTATTTCACGTGAACGGAGTCGCGGGCAAAATCTAGTATTTTATAATTTACTCCAAGTCTAAGAATTCTTAGATATCCATATATATCGTGTCAGAACATATTTAACAAGAAACACAAATAGCACGGATACGTACATAACAATACTAAATGTGAACAATTACAATGTCCGTTAACCATCTCAATAATGGCACAATTTACGAATATTACAGCGTAGGGTGCGTTCCCACTAATTAGCTTTAATGCAGCGTTTCCATTACTTAATGAAGTTCGTCCATGTTTACACAATAAACTTCATATTCTAGTAAATTTACTAGTTGGCCGCGTATTGGCCACACCCACGTTTGATGTTTAGTTTCATAGAAAGTGACGCACGCCCCTATAAATTATTTGGTAAGAGCCGCACGCATATCGCTGTTTACCCAGTTGAAGTGTTTACATGTTATGTATATATGGAGGTGCTAATACTATTAGTTTACATCATCTAACTTGTAACATCATGGCATAATCCATGCCTGTCATAATCCTTACTTTTATTTATTTATTTATTTATTTAAAAAAGGTACACCAACAGCTTCTGTATATAGCAAATTAAATAAAACAATGAAACATTAGGTTTTGGCCTTATACAGTCGCCAATTACAGGTAACCAGCATTCTTAAAAATAAAGTGATAACCTAGTAGAGTAAGAACGAAACTATCTATTACAATAACATAACTTACTTCGGCTAACCAGGCTGTCATGTATCCGTAACCTTATTTTTTGCAGTTATGGTCGAAAATTCTTTGAAGGTTGTTATTTTGAAGTGTCGTATTAGACATGTATACAGAATATTGCTTGCCAATTTTGCTTCTAACCCTCTTATAACCCCGGGTTAAATAGGGATGATGGATGACTCGGTCAAAAATAAATTGTTGTCCCTAATAAATTGTTATAAACAAAATAACGTTCTTAACAAAAAAAATGAGTTGACAATAAATTTGTCGTCATCACTATTTAGACTCCACACTGAATAACTGGATAATCGATCAAGATTGATTTGAAGGTGCAGGAACGTCTTTAAAGAGGTAAATGACCTTTGCTTAACTGGATAATTGGACGAACGTCATTATATGAATACGGTACCGCATCACCAATTGCCACGAAGGTTATAATACCTACATCAGGAGTGCAATACGTTCCCGACCCGCTCAATTGCTGTTGCATTAAGATTGACAGCCCCCGTTCGCGAACGAATAGTTTATTCTATTAAACGCGTCTGTTATAATATCATCACTGAGCTCTGTTGCATTTCCTTGTTAGTAAACATAAACGTTTATCATTTAGGTTTTATTCCATTATTGCCTTTGGACACGTTATGAGAACGGATGAAAATCATCTAGGCATACATACGAGTGCCAAAATGAAATCTGTTTGGAAGGCAGATTAAGATCAAAGAAAGATGAGGTTGAACGACTGATAAGGTGCTGAAAGAAGACATATTTTTCCTACTAGTAAGAAGCGTATTATCAGACTGACTAATGACAGAAGAATTCAATTCTTACGTCAAGTATACCTACTTAAGAACCGTACCAGCAAAAACTGCGGTGTGCTGTTACTGTCCTTCAGTGACACAGAGATGAGATATTACACAATATAATAGGTACTTTAAGTGATAGTACCCATAGGTAGTACTTAAGACAATTAGCATAAACGTTATCATCAGTGTCACAAAACACTTAGCTAATCAAGTATCGAGAAATTGTTACAAACACGATAATATTATTTACAAACGTTCGAAGATTACTACGGCTAGATTATTTAATCAATTTTTATCGTAATTACGAATAAAGAAATTGCTTAGGTGTAGGTGGGTTTTTAGCGTTGCCCCACATTTGTATGTTCTCCTGTGTCCACGTTACCCAGGACACAGTACAAATAAATGATTTTAAATACACATCAGGTACAGACACGGAACAATGATTATTTATGGATCACACACAGAGTTGTCCCGTGCGGAGACCCACGACCCGGCTGCCGATTGCTCTGCTAAAATGCCAACTGTACAGTAGGGTATCGTTTCATTGCTTCATTATACATGCAATAGACACAACATGCTAATTGTAGGTTATAATATTAAAGACAATATATGCTTGCAAAATGTTTTGTCTACAAGGATGTGCAATTTACAACTATAGGGAGTTACTTAATGTTTTAAATCTTTTTCACTCATTAATCTGTGGAATAATAAAGAATTAAAATATTGTCATCTATGGCGATGTACATTCATAATATAAAAGATCACTAGTATCAGTTATAATGCACATGCAAAAGATGTTGGGCTAAGATAAATCACAATGTACTTCACAAAATGCCTTAATTTTCCCGATTAAAACTCATTTCTTTCTATTACGTTAATTAGTATGCATATTGCTCAACTGTGGAACGTTTTCTATAAATATACTATTTCAAAAGTTAGATAATACTATTGTTAGATATTCTGTACGTGTGCGACCTTTAAAATTAGTCGTTTTGCTCAACGAAATGTCAGTTCAAAGTCAATGTTTTTGTTTATTTCTAAATAATTTAGCTCGACTTAGCTTTCACGGGTCAATAAATATTGTATGTATCTATCGCAGCATAGAGTTTAATTTCCTATGCAGTTAAGAACGGATATTTTTGTACAATTTTTACAAATTAATTTTGTATCATGAACTGTAATAGTTGTGCTAATAATTACCCTGTTTGTCATATTTAAAAATCATAATTCTCACATTTATCTAAAACTGTACTTACACACAAACTCATCAGGTTGTTCCAGCTTAATTTTCTTTCTATCTGGCTCGACAGGTGGCGTGGGCGGCGCGGACGGTCCATCCTCGCTGCAGTCGCGAGACTTCTGTTTGCTGAATGCTAGCCGCGCTTTACGTTTCGCCAGGTTCATCTCCCGAGAACTCAGAGGTTTTGAGGACGTTACTATTTCTTGTACTGGTCTCTGCAGGTGCAAATAATAAAATTATTAGCCCAAGCAATTTATTACCCTGTAAGGTCGGAGTTAAGTTTCAAAGTGATATATATGACAACATTCAAGTCTGTTGATGACACAAACGAATAATGTCGCCTAATTACAGCAGTTAAAGATCTTTTGCAGCATTACGCTCTCTGTAGCGCGGAGAATGTACACTTGTGCAGTTTAAGCAACTATATTGCAGTGAATGCATTTATCCTGATCTATCAGTCCATGTTACTTTTAATTATGGCAGAACCATGCTTTGGTACAATTAGGGCGGCTCGACCGGAGTGATTTCACGGCCTCACACAAAACCGACCGGCGTGAAACAACCACAGCGTTATAATAGCCATGTGAGTGTGTTTGCCGCTGGTCCAATCCTTCCCCTCCCCAAAATCTTTAGCAACTTTTTAAGTACTTAAGTGACCAAATTATACACTTACCCGGCACGGTTCAGTCTTATTAATATTAACAGTGGGTTTCGTGGGACACAAGTCCTCGTTTGTGTACATAGAGCTGATATCGACTCCGAGATTGGCGGCCACGTCGAGACCCAGACGGGCGTTCAATTGCTGCCTCTGTTTCGCCAGACGCTCCTTTGAATCTATGTTAATAAGATGAAAGGAAAATATTGATTAGGGGAAACAATAAACAAAAAGAAGTCGCCCCAGTCTAAGATATGGGTCTAAGATATAAGTCTGGGTGCGTTTACAAACACATCACACCCAGACAAGAAACAACAATTTGTGGATTAAACAAAGAGTTACACACGTGTGGCGTGACCAACACGTGTCGCACCCGCAACACGTTGCATGATAACGCGTCAATTTAATTTTGCCAGCTGTTTGAACTTTCAACGAAAAACGATCACTAGCGTCACATCATCAGCCTAAAAGTGCCCATTTTGGCAAAGGCCTTTTCTCACATGGCAAAGGTTTGAGCATTAACCACCACCATAGGTAATTAGAAAATAAATATAAGTCCAGGTTTCCTAACGATGTTTGGTGATCACATTTCCTCATGATGTCACAACACAAACGCAATATAAATTATTGAGAAGATAATCAATTTCAAAATTCTTAGAATAAGTGAAGCACCATCCCAGTATTGTGGCCGATAATTCGCAGTAGCCAATAGATGTATGACATCCCGTTATCACTTTCACAAAACCATATCTCCCGTGTTCTTTGTGAAGCGCGTTGGCTCTAGCCTGATGCAATAACCAGTGGCTGAACAATATCATTTGTGTGATTCACAAATTGTTGTTCCGGGTACGGGTTTTTTTTTGTGAGGGGAAAATCATCAAGTAACTTCTCCCGCCCAGGGCCGGGCGGGAGGGAGTGTCAGGCTCTTACTGACTAAAAACCCCCTGTTCCTTCTCCTGCTCTGGGCCGAGGTCGCGGTGCCTCATTGCGCTTACCCCGCAACCCCGGCTCCGGGTACGGGTGTGATGTTTATGTCAATTCTTAAGTTTGTAAACGCACTGAAATTGCGTAAAAACACGCTATAACACAAGAGAGTTCGCTGGTACAACCAAAAGTGCTGGCTGATTCACAAATGTTTTTAATACAATATTTACCGTAACAGTAAAGTTTATCAAATGTATACAATAAGAATATCGTTTCGTTGGTAAACAAATGATTCACCGGCTTTCTCTTTAATACATGCGACGCACTCGATGAGTACGCAGTACGATAACCACAATATACATTCATCTGTATATTTTCTAAAACATTACTATCTATGAGGCCTGAGAGGGGTCATATCTTATAGATCATGTATGCACCTGCCTATATATGTAGATACATAGAAATTGAGGTACATATACTGTTAGATAGCTAAGAAGACCTAATAAGTAATTTTTGCCCGGCTATAGTTAAGTTTCTCAACGTTGAAGTCGGTAACGTTTTAAAAGAGCGATTGCTTAGAGAGGATTTATGTAAATGTTGAAGCTCAAAATCTTGGATACTACTAGTCCGTTCTGCGCATTCGCCCTCTTAAAACACATTACTTGAAATAATGTTTGCAAACTTATACAAATCTAACTGTCACCTCAATCCCTTGATCCTAGCTAATTCTAGAACAATAAATACTTACTATGAGTAGGTACTTACCAGCAGGGTTGAGTGCCTCTTCATCCATATCGTACTCGTGTCCCTCGGAGCCCATGAGGTGCGCTCCATGCTGCAGGACGCGCTCGATGTCAAACGTCTCACATCGCAGCCGGCCATTGTCCTCCGGCTCAGTCTTCTCCTTCTCTTCTGTAGAAGGAAACTATACATTAACCTTACTGCTTTCAAAATGAAAATCATAAACACCAAACAGAATACACCCACTCACTGCTGAACCAAGGCTTATACGCTTCAAAAATCCAGCCATGTTAATGTTGGATAAGTGAGAAGGTCAGACGAATGACAAAAGACCATATCAAAGTCCAGAACGAAATGGAAAAAGTAAACAAATATATATATAGAATTAAAATTCTTGTATCTCAAAGTTTGACGTCATAATTAAGCCTACATCTGCAGTAAATGTTCAATGGTCAACAAAAAGATTGTATCGCGTCTCACATGTGACGTGCACAGTAATTACCCAACAACTTGTAATTATCACGATGCCTAATCCACACTTGTAAACAGAATAAGCACCGCCATTGTTTTGACTCATCTATTCATAAATCATTTAGGTACCCACTGTACCCATATGTATGTATGTATATAGATAAGTAATATTATGTACTAAGATGGATAGTAGATATTTACGACGCATGCCACTGGTTAGGTATAGAAAAAAGATTCTTATTTGTTTGTATAAATAATAAATAAAACTTCCGGTGAGAAAGAGGGATGGAGCTATACACCTTTTATAGCTCCATCCCTCTTTCTCGAAGACTGACTGGTAGGCCCTCAGATCACTTCAGTATCAAATTAAGCATAAACATTCTATCCACACAAAAAACTTGTGGAAAACGATGTTGAACTTTACAAGTGTGTTTATTTTGTGCGTGAATGTTACTTTCGCATTTACATATGTGTGTGTAATGTTCAACGTAATTCTATAGAGGTTGGTATCTAAATAAAAAAACACTTGGGCACCACGCCTTAAAAGTTGTATAAGGGAAAGGCGTACTGAATGCCGACTACTAGAACTGGAATAGGGTATCTAGGCCCTAGACACTAGACGCTATCAACAAGTAAAGCAAGAACTTATCAATCCACGAAGATATACTGCTGTATGCTTGTATGTTATATTAACAGAAAAAGCATTTCTTTTTAGAGTAGTCAGATGTATATTAATAACATTGACGTGTAAAAGTGGTGTCTAAAGGTCTATTTACAAAAATTTATTCATTCATTGGTCGAGCAGACCTGATGTAGTTGACCAGTGTCGATCGCTTATCGCCAGGTGATCCGTTGCTATCCTCCCTCCTGTAGCTCGGTACTACCATTACTAGTGGAGTCACAAACCATAAGAGCGTTTTATTACAAAAAATATGGCATAATAAACTCATCTAAAAGAAATTTCAAGGCTCATCGATGTCAAAGAAAGTAACTATACAAAATTGTTGTTAAAAACTGCACAATCGAAAAGCTCGTCAGCTCCGTGACCTATTGCACGTTTAAGTAACATTTACAGTTATGGTATTTTTGCTCCAACTACTTCACGACATACTTTACCACTTGGCTGTTGCGAATGGTATTTAAATTCTTTTAATTACTGCGTAGAATTTCCTTTAGTTTTTAAATACTAAGTCCTCCGTCTGAGGGTAAAGAGGATAAGACTTAGCCACTCATGAGATATTGTGTGCTTTTCCCGAACCGGTGTTGGAGTTATTTATAAGTTCCGCAACTTATTATTTCTTCGACAATTTAGTTATTTACACTAATATTATAAAAGGTGATTTTTGTGTGTGTATTTGAATCCTAAAGACTCCGAAACTACTGAATCGACTAGGCGACTTTGACTAATTGAGAGCTTCATTATCAAGAAATAACGTAGGCTATAATTTACCAGTACAGGCAGCTAGTATTACCAAAATAAAATTCTATGGCTAAGACTTTTTAGTATACCAGAATATTCCGAATCACATGTATTTGACCTAAAATGGCCTACATAAAAACACGGCTGGTAACATTAAAATGCTATTCGTTATCGACAGCGAGGAAGTCTGTCTGTAGCCGATATCAAAATTAAGTTGACCTTTTCCTGTTTTTAAAATAAAGGCTATATATTTAAAATAAAACGAAAATATTATTGCAGTGAGTTTAATGTACGCTTTGATAACGAGCTAATAATGTTTTACATTTATATACCTAAACCCGAATCGAGTTGTTTATTTCTGTGTGTTTAAGGAGTAGGTATTCTGATACCATTTATTGAAATAAAAAAAAACTGACATTAGACACTACTCAGAAAATTTTCTATTTTCAAATTTAAATGGAAACAAATGAAGTATGTACAATGATATAGCAAAAATGCAAAATAGCTCCTAAAGATTTTATACATTAGCAACTATCATCATCAGATGACTTGCAATGGGCTGTTTGGGATTGTTGCTATGATTAGACAATTTTTAAAAATAAACTTATTTACACTTCGTTATTATTACGTCAATACTTATCTACAAGATTTAACTGAACAGATAAAGGACAAATAAACAGTTCTTCACTGTTATGATCCATTTTTATGATGATGCACATAAATATGGTCTTGTAAAGAAATATTGTAAAACGAAAAAGTCTATATCGAATTAGAATTGTAGCCGATTTTCATTGAAACGTTATAGGTACCAAGAATTAATCCAAATGGTAGGTTTAAATATTTTATTTGATTTCTGTAAATTGATTACAACGCAGGACCATGGCTTGACCCTTCCAGTATAAGACAGGATAGCGACGAAGACAGTTTAAATATAATGTAAGACAATTTCGCGAAACCCGGACGAGGGCAGGAATGAATATAAAACAATAATGCCTATATAGTTGTGACTCAATAATGTTATGTATAAATAAACAATACAGTAAGGGAACAAACGGATGTTGTAATAGGTACTTTGAATACATTGATTTGAATGAGTGGCAAGAATCAAGGGCGGGCGTTGACCATGCAACATTCTTTATACAAGAAAGAGATTTAACTGGATACTTGAAAATATATTTTAGAACTTAACACTAACTTAAACGCTCATTAAGAACATAGTGGTGGTAAAAACGAAGATGCCTCTTTGCCTTAGAGGAGCAAAGGTCGTAGGGGTTAATAATGTCAAGTTACTTACAAAGAAATATGATAAAGCAAAGAGCAATTACTTAATTTTGACCTCAGACGAACCATGACTGCTTTCGGCCCTTTGCCCTTTTGGCCTAAAGATTAAGACAGAGACTGAGTCATCTTACTTTATCATTTAACTCCATAGAACAACAGTTAGGCCGCTCATTATTTAATATCTGTGTCACAAACTAACAAGACTCAGTACTAAGTGAATAATATACAGTAATTGATGATGGCCGCCTATGAATAGCACATTGTATCAAGTACCGCTCATTTGTCAAGAGACTGGACGGCTTTAACATTCTTAATACAGATGCCTATCTCGTAATGTCAGTGTATTCGAGAACGCGCGTAATTCGACATTGATATTTATGAAACTTGTGAAGTCGTAAAAATAATTGCTTGGAAGAAATGTTGACAGATCGCAAAATGTCAGTCAGACCAATGACCGAGTATTAAAAAAATATATTATGTTGACATGATACACAAGGAATTCAGACAAGATGCTCTAGTTTCAATTTTTCTTGCTTTCTTTACAACTCACGTAAGAAACAAAGAACACAAAGATAAGGTGAAGGATTAAGATTAACGCAGCATTTAGACAACAGGAAACAGGACAATGTGAAAATGTCGACGTGACCTACAACTAATTGCTAAGAGACAAGAGCGACAGATTGCGAATTTCCTCAAATTAAATTTAGAATTAGTTATTATAACTGATCATTGTATTTGTCTCGCTCGATTGATGATTTATTGTCTCGCTCTTATTACAGTAATGTTCAAGCACAAAAGTTGGTATTTAATTTTAGCATAGAATGTTAATTGTCTATTCATAAAAGATAATTTTCTTAGTCACTATGTTAGCTGCAGGATGCAAATAAGATTGCGTCACTCGAATTACATTTTTCTTTAGTTGGCGCCACTAGCGAATTTAGTCTTTTTTGTTAAAGGGTTGCTCAACTAACCTAATTCTTTCAATATACATAAACCACATATGTATAATGTAACAGCAATAAAATGTTATATTTAAATTAATGCAAGCCGTTTTACAATTTTTAAGGACGTTAGCCGTTAGTTGCAATTTCCCTTTATTTTGTTAGGCAATTGAATAATTTGCCAAGATAATGTCAGTCTCAATTAATTCCTAAAGAAAAAACCTATGCCTCGTTTATAATTACGTAATAACACAAGTCACCATTTGAATAATTAGCTAGAAATTACTTATTTTTTCAGCATTGCCTTTATATGTTCTTTCAAGTTTTTTAAACCTGAGCCCCTGTTTCAAAAAGGTTTTATAACTACTATGTACCAAATGTTTTTGAATATAGAACGTAATTTGTATAAACTATTTGGCAGATAAGCTTATTGGGAACTTACTTATTGCTGTTAGACAATTCTTTTATTACAACTTAACGTTAACTAATTGAGCTATGTAAACATCTGTTTATGATATGTTTGTGATGCTTAGGTATGTTCTAACATAATACTAATAATTCATGCTAAGTCTATAAATATTCTCGCCGTAACAAAGCTGTCTACAGGTCATTGTTAACATCTCCATCACATTATCCTTTGTCTAGCCAACATCTATGTTAGATAATTCCAGACGTCGTCTAAACCGCCTGAATATCACGGCGACATAAACAGAAAAACTTAATCAACTAAATAGGTACATCACTATTGTTACCGCGAGACAGCATGACCGAAGCCTAATTAAGAATACCATGTCTGGAGGTCGTCGTCAATGTTGTCTAAACATAAGACGTACATAGTCTTGTTTAATTACTGACCTTTCTTGCCCGTGAACGGTGTTGGATGCCATTCTGGAACGTTCGCAAGGATCGACTCGACAGCCTGTGAAATAAAAAAACATTAAGTACACAAGAGTTTAAACTTAATTGATTGTGGGAGAGCCACGGTTCGGCACGAAAACCAGCGTGAAATAACACAGCGTTTTGTTTCACTGTGCTAGATTGCTGGAGGCCCGATCTACGTCCTCAATCCCTAAATCTACTTAAAAAAGGCCTGCAACGGACTTGTAAATCCTTTGGTGATGCGGCGAAGATTGCCCACCATCAGGTGATCAATCTGCACGTTTGCCAACCTATATCATATAAGTCTGTTTTTCACTGTAGGTACCATTTTTTTTTGAGGTTACAATTTCATTGTAGCATTTTTGAGGTACATGAGTTCGTATGTACATATCGCTAACTTATTCTCTAGAAACAATTAACATTCTAGCAATCGCGCTTACATTATTAACTTAGCACCAGCTTAATACATATAATAATAAAGTTTCAAGCAAAAAACAGTCCAATATCCAACAGAATAAGTATAATAAAACTAAATATAAATGTAACTAGTTCGACAACAACGTATTATACAAAAAAAGGAAAATGCCACAATTTCCAATGTCGCATTTTTAATAATTTAAATGGCATATTATCGTAATTCGTGATTGACGACTTTTGGTTGATTGAGTTCATTTCATTGTCTTATCTAAATTTTACAAATGGGTACGACGAACCTTCTTCAGTCCTATAATACATTTTCTAAAGAGGCGATCTTTTAAAATTCTGAAAGTCCTCCAACAAATTCAGTACAAGAGCTTAGTCATAATTAAATTTTATGTCTAAATTATACTAATACATAATAAGATTCTAAGTAAGATTAGGATTCACAGAATATTCATAAAATAATCGAATACTCGCTTTCTCCTTTCTCACAAAGGAATACTAAATTGTTGCTGCTTTTCTGTTCGTTATAGGAGGCAGTTTACGTTGTTTCGTAAGATCTAGAATCGGAATTAGATGCTCTTAGAAGTTTCTAGATGTTAAAGGTCTAGAAACTTCTAAAAGCAACTAATTTAATCGTATTATAAAAAGGCTACCAGAAACAATATGAATAAAAATGCGTCATCAAATTTTTTACCGATTACTTCTGAAGAAAAAACCAACAAAATTATCTAAAATACAGATCACATGCATATTTGATATTCATTCATAACATATTTCCAGGAATACAGTTAGGACCCAATTTCCTTTTTTTTATCAGTAAAATAACTTAAGTCTTAGTTTGTGAGGCAAAAGAATGATATCATTTGTCCTCATCATGAGAAAGTCATTTATATACATACATAATTTGGTTGCTCACTAACATTAATACAAATCTGGACCAACAATGGAGACATCAACGGAACACCATACGTTTATTGTGGTTGTACATAAAATCTTTAATTGTTATTGTCATGTTGTCACTACATAAAATATTAAAACGTCATTCTTAACTGCAGAACGAGCAATGTAAACTTACCAAAACGTTACAAGATTTTGTCACTAACTTTGTTGATTTTGAGTGCAAGTGAATTTCAACATAAATCATAATATTTGAACGGGTAGAACGCAGCTTTTATCTATGTTTACAAAGTAAACGGAATGGTTCAAGGCACCGCACCGCTGATAATACATGCATGAGTAGACCATATTAGCAATGTTTGAACTGTCACACAATGACTTAGGAAAAGAGGGCCGACTGAGGTATGACACGTACGCCACGGTAACATCATCAGCTTAGGCTCAGAAAGTCAAAAAGTCAAAAATCATTTATTTCAATTAGACCACATTAGGCACTTTTGAACGTCAAGCAAAAAGGAAAAATGTATATAACAAGAGCTTTAAAATTAAGCGTGTCAGTCTGACCGTCTGTCCTCTAGTGAAGCTATTTGCTCGTTTCAAAGTGTAGATTTCTATGGAGAAGAACGAGCAAGAAACTCCATGGTTACTGTTAACAATGTAACACTAATGTTCAGGCAAAAAGTACGAAAAAGAAGTGTACCTCAAGGACAACATATCAGAACTAAGACAATGGAATAGTAAACCATAAAACAGTTGGGACAAAGTTGCCATCACACGAAAAACTAAGAAAATCCCTTAAAATAATTGGTATCGATGCTTCTATGGATTAAACTTATCTACTACGCCTTACTGAAGATAAAATATTGGTGCTGAAGCATAAACTGTTATAAAACAAATTCGTAGCGACTAACATATGGATAAAATGGGTGAAAAAAGAGTTAAAATAATAAATTTTAGAGGTCTTATTAACTAGGGACTAAACCTATGAGTACAAGTAATGACCTTGCCACAATCTGATGAAACAGTACGATACACTAAAACTGATAAGTTATTTTTAAAAGATAAAAAGTGGAAATACCGAATGCAATGCAATTCATCCTATAACCTAATTATAAAATTTTACTTAAAATGCATTTATCAAATCGTTTCAATTTAAATCACTTACGCAAATCATACATTTTTAGAACGTGCTCAATAACTTTTCGCAGATTTGAGAAAAAAGGTAAATGGTTCGTACAAAATTTTTGTGTAGATGTGATTTCATTGAGGAAGCTCTTTTATTCAAACTGGAATACGGTAACATGTTAAAGACAACTGGTCTACAGGATTCACTATTATATGAATCGCTATTGTATTTTTGAGGGCACTGAAGACGCGTGCGAAAAAAATCCTAATAATTATAAAATCTGCTCAGAATACAGAACAAACCAGAAGGCGTCATCGCGCTTCAAACTGAAGTAACTAAAACCACTCATAACTAGAGTAGTATGAAATTTCTACGATCAGTCAATTTTGGCACGTGGCATATCGTGACGTATTTACGAGTATCAATTTTAATTTCATTATGCCGTCTTGTGTTATTACTACGAGTAAAAATGCGGCTGGAATTACGAAAAAAGTGGATAAGATTACATTTCATCTGCAAGCATCGACTGCAATAGTATATTTAATTAATTATTGAATTATTTTTATCTATTTATTTTTCTATGAAAATGATGCGGCCATTTTGTGAGTGTTGTCATTTTTGGTGAAAATTTTACCCACTTATTTATTTGTTGTGGGTTATATTTTGGTCCATTATGGAGCCATGACGACTAACAAAAAAAAAATCTTACAAAGGGCACGGTTAGATTAATTTCGGAAACCATCTAGCCAGAGCATAGTTTGCTCAATTCACCTTGAAGACAATCTCCCTGAACACATATTTATGACAATATTAATTTAAATTATGACAATACATATTAAAAAAAACAAAACCAGCAAAAAACGCAATAAAACCTTTGTACTTATTGAAGCTTTGTTTTATTTGTTGTGTGTAGTAGGTGTAACTAAAATTAACACAGTCAGAAATCGTTAACTTTTATGATACCTCTATGAAATGTGTGAACAACAAGTCTGTTGCATTTTTCGTAAGTTTACCTATTTTGTTGGGTTTACCCATATCTTACCCTCTCCTGTTGTAAAATTACCCCAAACCAAGGGAATTGTTCCACTGTTGGCAACACTACGCGGGTGGGAAGTGCGGCTGGCGGGGGGATTGCCGTATTGTTTTTGGACACATTTGACGACATGTGATTATGAGTGAACGCGGATTCTGGTTTGTTCTGTATTCTGAGAAAATCTGTTATGTTACGTTATAGTCCACTTTGTTATTAAAAAATAGAAATCCTAGAGCTAAACTATTCGAAAGCATAATTTTCTTAAGATATTAAAAGCATGACTTATTGCAATACGTTCAAGACTTCAACGCGACAAGTGTAGGTATGCGGTGAGGAGCAAAAGTGAAGCAAATTGCAGATCGATTACGATAATGCCTTGGAGAATTGCAAACGTAGAGACTAGGAAAAATGTCAATAATGCAATTTTTTATGGTCAACTATAAATAGCTCCAAGAGTAATATCGCAGACGCACAGAGTATCATGTGCTGTTATCTTCCACGCATCGCCGCGTAGTCACATAAATATGACTGACAAATTAATTTCTCAATCGTTTGAGGCAATGTAATGTAGCCAATTACGGCAGAACAATACATTTGCCTGTTGACAAAACATGACAATAACATCTGTAAGCAATTCGTCTAAGCAGAGACCTACCATGAATACAAATCGACCGTAAAATACAAATTGTGCTACTTAACCACCCATGCACTCCAAAATAGTATCGTGGAAGATTTAAGATTACACAGAGTAGCTTTATCTTATTAATCTTTGAGTTGTTTGTCTTTATAGTTCAAACAAACTGGCTCTTCTAACTTCTGAAAACTGGAAAATATCGTAGCCGGTAATAAATTCATCTCGAACACCTGTATGACAAGAATGAATCACACAGTGGATGTTCCGAAATCGTATTCCTTGTTTATCAAGTTACGTTGCTTATCTAATTTACTAGAGACGTTTAATTGGCTACATTTACCACATTACGGGTTTCCCTGCATAGAAGTGTAAATAAATCTCTAAATAAACTAAGGATTTTCAAATAGACACACGGATAGATTTCCACAAGAATGGGCAGACACTTTGCGAGTTTAAAGTCACAATAAATCTACCACGCACCTATAGTCTTGTCAACACGATGTACAAGTACAACAACATGTATTATACACGCATGAAATAATTTTGTCGGATGATTAAGTTCAACCTGTTTGAGTAGGTACAATTATAATATTCTACATAATTCTTCCATAATTTAATATTATAAAAAACTCTGCTGTGCTGTGTGTGATGATAGATTTATATAAAAGTATACATATAGCTTTTGTTTTGCGCAAAACTATTGAACCGAATTTAATTAATTTTGGCACACATGTAAATTTCAACCATGACCTGGGTTAACATTAGGAAGTGACGTAGTAAAGTTGGCAGCGTATGGAGTGCGAATTTACTAAAATTGTTCATTATAACAGTTTCCTTGTAAAACAAAATTCCATGAGTGACTGACTAGCCTAACGTTCATTGCGATCCGTTGTCATAACAAAGAAACAGAGTCTGTGTTTAGACTGTGGTTTACTCATAAATCTGTCGTTTGTTAATATGACAACACAAACAAGGAAAAGTAGGTGTAGGCTTAGCGGTCGTATGCAAGCTGTTTGCAGCTTAGATACTGAAATAACTTGATGCACTAGTACCTATCTTTCGATTAATCTGGAAAACGTTTCACGATAAAAATCAAGGAAATGATAAGCTCCTCAAAAGTTACACAACAACTAGACTAATATGACGGATGGTTTAAAAACTCGTTAATTGCACGTATTTGCACATTAAGAAGAATGCGGATTTGCATGTGGTGAAAGGTTACATTACCAGACGTACATCCAAACTTGTACACGGGAATAAAGTTAACTTTTTTAAAACTGATAAAATAACAAGTTTTAGCATTAAATTTTTAGATTATCACCATTATACTGGTCCGTTGCAAAGTTTATCCCTGAGCAATAATTTTAACAGTGGAACAATAGCGGAAACTTTCAATAGTGATAAAATGTCCATTTGAAGATTCTAAGGGCTTTCAGTTAGTTACCTGTGCAGCTGCAACTCTCGTCTCCCAGGCTGGGGAGCGCAGATGCGTCATAAGCCTGCCAAGCAGACGATGCAGTTCCTCAGGGTGGGCTTTCTGCACCTCGCCGAGCTGTCGGGCTGCTGCACGACGGGTCGCTGGGCCAGCGCCCGCTTCCAGAAGGACGAACAGACGATCTAACCTAGTGAATTAACCATTTATTATAATTAATACCGTAATAATTAGAAAAGGAATTCAAAATTTGAGGTTTCTAGTAGCAGAAATAGTTTTACAATTTTACCTAATTATAACCTAACCTAACTACAATAAACCCTAGGACAATCTAAAGCCTAACACAGCATTCCGCAGATTATTTTTACTCATATTTAGAAAGTAGTGTTTCTAATAAAATCAAAAAGGCTCCATCATCGGATTGGTTATGAAATACTAATCTAAATAGTTGTAGATTATTTTATGTCTACATTTTAGGCAAAAATGAACTGAGATTCTGAAGAGCTAGCAAATGATAATGATAGGTTGAGTAATAATTTTTGTGCCGTTTCACGTGTTTTAAGATGTTTTTTCCGAATTTAAATTACGGTAGATATTTTTTTTCGTCAGAGGAAAATCATTAAATGACTTCTCCCGCCCACGGTGCCTTTATTGCGTTTACCCCGCATCCCTGGCTGAACATCAGCCCTATGGGTCCGTCTGTGGTGGTCTATTGGCTCTTTGAGGCGTCGCCGATCACTTCCCTAAAGACACGTCGGTGCTCAGCCCAGGCAGGGCACACCGCTACTGTATCCTCTAGGTGGTCCTCACGGAAATTACGGTAGATGTTTTAACAATTTTAGGTATTTTATACTAATCATAATGTAAGTATTATGTTCTGCAGCAACTTTATGGCACGAAACCCGTTACACTTCGAATTTATGAATTTATACCGTTAGTTGTATGTCACGTTCGCGAACATAGTTGTTATTTAACAATAAACACCAAGCACCATAATCACAGCAGAAAATCTATTTTTTAAGTAGGTACACGACGCAATAATTTGGTGAAACACGAAGTCTACATATCTTTTTAATTTAATTCTGTATGAGGCTGCTCTTAGAGCCAAACCGGATTATAAGACTCAAGAGAGCTGATGTGCTAACTAAGTAAGAGGAGTTGGAGCAGTGGCTCTACCTCGCCAAACGATAACCTCTTGCAACTAGCCTGATTATAGTCTTACGCCCGGTTTCTTAAAGGCGTGTCAACGCTAAAATTAACTAATCTCCTGTTAAATCCCTTGTCAAGTCATCTGATTGGTTGTTGATAATTCAGTCAAGCAATCAGATGACTTGACAAGAGATTAAATTGATTTTAACATTGATCGGCCTTTCGGAAACCGGGTGTGAAAAATTGGTCGCAGCCTAGAAAAATGAACGGGTCTGCGGTCGGCGAGTAAGGGCAGCTCGCCGCCCGACCAGAACCAGGCCCGAGCGAGCGTAAGGCGCGTAGCGCCGCGCGCGCCTCAGAAAGCCAATAGACCACCACAGACGGGGCCCTAAAGGGCTGATGTTCAGCCGGGGTTGCGGGGTAAGCGCAATGAGGCACCGCGACCTCGGCCCAGAGCAGGAGAAGGAACAGGGGGGTTTTTAGTCAGTAAGAGTCTGACACTCCCTCCCGCCCGTCCCAGGGCGGGATAAGTCATTTGATGATTTTCCCCTCACAAAAAAAAAGCTAAAAAATGATCTCTGAATGAATCTGTATAGCAAAAAATAAAATTTTACTAAACAAATTATATCACAATATTAAGTTACTTACCAGTACCAGGTAACAATGCCGTATCTAATGTATTCAAAACTAGGTAATTTATTGATTAAAAAAACTACCACATAGGTAATATTAATTTATTATTCTACAAGTGTTAAAACTATACATGCTTATTATTAAAAAATAAAACACATGACACCTGTCTTAATATAATTACATGCGCGAAGGATAAAAAAAAAGACATCAGAATATGTAATCATTTGTTTGTGAGTGAAAACCAAACAAAATAAAACATGCAACTTTACACGTAGTATGGATACGATGATATAGGTACTACACAATAAAACCGTATATTTAGTATGGTCAATAATTAATTATAATTTATTTGTAGCTCGATTAAATATTATGTTCGATTCATTTGGGAACTCTTTGCATAATACATTAGTATTACGTTCCATATCTATATGAAAAAAAGTGAAGTACTTTTTTTATACTTATTATAAAAAAACTACTTAACTTTTTTACACTCGTAAAAAAATGTATTGAATATATTTTTAAAGTTCAATACACCTGTGTTTAAATTGTTTGTATTTTTTATGTAATCGCACTCTGTTGTCAGAGTAAGTTCTTAAACAGCAACTGATAATTACTGTTAAACAATTATCAGTTACAAAAGATCTCCGACTTAAGACTCTAGACAGCTAAATAAAACATCCATCATTATTAAAATTTACGGAAAATTTTGAGCATTAAGAATGAAGTCAGGTCCGACAACTAATTAACTTAATTGAAAAAGAGTTATCATCAAGTTTCTTGTTCGTTCTTCTCCATAGAAAGCTTCACTAGAGAACTGACAAACAGAATTACACATTTTATATTTAACTAGCGTCCTGCCCAGGCTTCGCACGGGTGCAGTGCTGATACCAAAATTAACATATGTATAAACATTCTCATTCAATAACTCCTTTTATTAAAACAATCCTTTGCGTAGGTTTAAAGATTTAAGCATTCATAGGGATATACAACAACGGACAACGGGTGTTTTGTACTATGTAGGTAGTGATTATTTTGTTTGATAGCAGACGTGATAGCTGCTTACTTTATACTAAACTTATTTCAATAAATATTTTCAGTATTAAATTAAATTATAAATTACCGTATTTCCATGTTACAATAATTTATGTGTTTGAATAAGAAATTATGTTTGTACAATGTTTGATTGGTTCTACAGACGCATGTGAACGTAAACTAATATCGTAAAACATAGTATTGCATAAGAAATAGTCCGCTTTCATACAATAACAAGTAAACGGTTACGTAAAATGTATATGCAATGAGTGACTTGCTAGGCAAGAAGCTTCAACATTTCCTAAATTATGAAATCTTAATTTAAACTAATCTTCAAAACATTTAAATTGATGAAACATATATAATATCTGATATAAGATAACTTTCCTCCTGATTCTATCTGATATAAGATCCTTTGTTTTATTTCAATTTATTTAAATTTTAAGCGTTTCTAGTTATGAAGATCATTATTAAGAGAACTATGACAAACTTTATAAAACTTCAACTATATCCTGACTGTCTAGTTCGAGTTTGTTAAACGTAAGCACAATCGACACTTTTATGTCGTTCGGCGTTCCGATTGGCCTGCTCAAAAGTAAACTAACCAACCAGAGGGACAAACGCGATAACGTTTTGGTCGCGTTAACATAAAAATAACGCAACGTTATTTACCTTAGATGGTTGCAATTTAGAGATGACCAACTCAATTGTAACAATAGACCGTCCGACAAAAACATTCGTAGACTATGTATGTATAAGTTAATAGTTTATCAAAGTCCCTCGTCATAATAAAAGTTAAAAACACGCTATACTTTGCCACCTTAAAAAAGGCCCGTCTCAACCGTATTATATTAAGAGCTGAATAGCTAACTAAGTGAAACCAACATTTAGAAACTTTGAAATCATTGCTAGAGCACTTTTGTTGGCATAATCACCACTAGACATCTCCATCATTGTAATTAGGGTAGATTGACTTGTCCAGTTTTCCTACAAACTTAAAATGGCTTATGTTTAAAGATGTTTAGATAGGCTGAAGAATAATTCGAAAAACTACTACGTTTGTGGCAAAACCCGCTCTCAAGTTTTTAAATTTTCAGTTACAATTAAGATATAAAATACATGCTTTTCTGTTTATTTCGTTGTCAAATTTTCATAAGTACCAAAATATGCACATACATGTATAATTAATTTTCAGATATATACGAAATAAAAAATATCCCGTTGGAAGATCCATGGAAATTCTGCATGATAAGCAAATGGTAATTTAACCAAAACAAATTCAGGTTTAAGACAAACAACATTTATAAATGATATGGTAATAGTATTGAAGGCAAAAGGATAAAACTGAAACAATAAAGGTCATATTTTGGTTACTAACTGGGAGAAAGGAGAAATAAAATTTCAATAGCAACTTAAGATTACAAAAAAAAACGACACACCTAAGTAATTGCCATTTACTGAATGTGTTTTATTAATAAGATGCAAATGACTTACCATCTCTAATGGTTACTTGACCTTAATGTGAAAAACACTATCTTCCGTTCGAATATAATTTTAAACCACAATGAATAATGCAGAAACCACTGCGTATTCACCATACTTACATCACATTTAAAAGTTAATGCTACTGGTCATGTGTTTACAACATGATAACAAAATATTTCCAATTCAATTTAATAACAAAGGCACAAAATGTATCCTTTTAGAGTGTTCAAGGACCACATGCCTTGCATTATTCATCGCGATAACATGAGAGTAAATGAAGCAAACATAAGGTAAACTTACCGAGACGTCATGCTGTAGGGTTGTTATCAACTCAATTTATAATTCCACTCCTGGAACAATAGAAAAACAACTATTTAATAACATTGAAAACAGCATTCGAGCACTACTGTATGTTGAGCACAACGATGTTCACTCGAAGCTAATCTAAGTATCAATGCGCGTCCCAGACGTGATACATGACCTATTTGTATATGTGGCAGAGTGGCAGACGAAACCTGCAAAATCGATAGAGCCCTCTATAAAATGGCCGGTAAGTTTTTGATTGGACCAGTTGTAATTTATGCACCTGTTGCACAACTGTGTAGCAACTTTATTACCACCTCTCTGTAGGGACTTCGATGCAATCAAAACAGCGAGACATCTAAATTTGACCATATGAACCCTATAGCGACTCTGTCTAAAGTCCTCTACACGGTTCTCAAATTTTAATGTTTCTTTTATTATTTGTAAGAATAATATGGGCGTGATACTATAATAATATCTGTTTTAATGACAGGACAATAGATTTAAATGAATTCTAACAATTATATACAAATTTTTTGTTACATACTTTGTGGACTGACACTTACTGTCCTACTCTTCCTTCATTTTTATGACAAAGCACCTTTCTATTCTGTCCTCGATTAGAAACCAAGCAATAAAAACAATTTGTTTACTAGTAAATGGGTATTTATTAAAATTATTTAGAAGGATTCGAGACGAAACGCACTAAGAGCAAAAAGCTGTTTAGCAGTAAAGAATTAAGTACCTACGTTACGTAGAGTATTTTTTCATTAAGGAAAAATGACACCGAATATAATATTGACGGGTAAGCTAAGCAAATAAAGATACGTGCGAAGCGCTTGTTTACTATTTAGAAACATTTTGATAATCACAAGATTTTACTAGAAAAGATTTCAGAGATAATCTCGGTCCCGAAAATGTCAACACAAGAGTTTTGGGGTCATGTTATCGTGAGCTAACACGTTGGTTACGTTCCACTTACGCGTTTCAATTATTTATCGAACACGTTATCGCTTTCTGTGCTAGAAATAGTATTACAAACACATGCTAAGATTTACTTCTACTTTATATTAGGTCATCTAACTAGTAACTTTAATCCTTAGATTTATGATGAGTTTATTATCTGGCGTAAATAAAGTAGCCATCATGATAGTAGATCAAATTACCTTCTAACGTAATTACTTCGCTAATATTACATTTTTCTTGTAGTCTAGCCCCTTATTACACGTTCGCGTTATTTAAGGCGAAGATTGAAATAATGTCGTTTAATCCACAATACATTATTGGCCGGATGCAACAAATAAACTTTGATGCTCCTTTATCGCTGTGTTTGCCGCAAATATGCTAAGGTAACTCATGGTAAAATGCTTTAGGATAAATAAATTGACAAATTCCAATGATGAAAAACAATAGTAGGTATAGTACATACAACACACTGCACATTTTATAAAAACGTATGAAATACTAAAGTATAAAGCCTACAAACTTATTAACAAATCTATCCAACATGACAAGTAATTTCCCAGTGACTACCTCACACGTCGAAACGTGGAAACGATTCCCTTAATCTTTGAAAGTGTCTACTTCCATCTTAGGAAATCCCTTCCTCATTCGTATGGAAAGCTGTCATTACTCATTTATCTTTCTGAGAATATCAAGATAAATAAGCTAAAGTGTACCTGATCGACATAATATATTGTCGGATTAAAAATAAATGATCAAATCTAAGTTTATTCGCAAAACCTGTACAATATGTACTTACAGTATCTACCATTATACCATATCTACAACGAAAGAAACTTTCCCATATCGACGCATCGTGTGGATAATAATTTTTGTGCAAAAGATGTCTGTTAGTTTTTTTGTGAGGGGAAAATCATCAAATGGTTTCTCCCGCCCAGGGTAAAGCGAGAGAGAGTGTCAGACTCTTACTGAATAAAAACCTCCCCGTTCCTTCTCCTGCTTTGGGTAGTAATCAATAAAATGCTTTTGTAACACATTGTGTAACTTAGTGGGACCGGCAGATTGTTAAGTGAAGACGCAAGATGTTTCATATTTCATTTTTTATTTAATGTACACATAACTATCAAAGATACATCGGACTAAATGCCATATGGTATTCTCTCCCAGTCTACCTTAAAGCTTAGTGGGAAATCAGCGAATCTTAATTTCGGTATTCAAACGAAGAGTGATTTTCCTCTTAGCAAACCACACCAAATCTCCGCAAGACGTGACCGTCCTAATTTAATTTATGTACAATTCAATAATTATATTCAATTACGTCTATGACTCATTATTTATTTTTATTTTCCGTGTCCATTCGCCCAATTGAAGTTCAATGAGGTACGTCAGATATTCAGATAGATTTTTCGCCGTCATCACCGACATCATCCTACAACCAACACCAATAAAACAGAAGTACTGTTGTGTAGAGAAAACACACGTAAGAGTTACCTGACGGTCTACATGACGTACCTATTGCAAAAAGTCTTCAAATTACGTCTTCATTTGCATGTAAAGCAGTGCAGATCTTGTGAATATTACCTAGTTAAGTAATCGGTAATAAGTTAATATTTAATAATGGGAACACTGCGAGCTGAAAATAATTACATACTGTACGGTGCAACCGCACATCAGCATTTTACGCCACTTACATTACAATTCATTATAAATATGTTCAGTTCGCGTTGAGCCACCAAGTTAGCTAAGCGTTCTCATTACAGCCGACAAGGGCTACGTCACTCATCATTTTCGCACAGTTCATTAAGCTCATTTTTACCTTCTAGTACATTTTGATCAATACAGTAGTTTCCAGTACTTAACTTTCTTTTATTCCTTTCCACTATCATCTAAAATAGTGTACGGTCTAGCAAGAGACCATACATATTTTTTGGTCCTTCGATCCGGCTCGAAGGACCACAAAAATATGTTTATTACTTTTTCATATAATCAAATAATACAGTATATTATATTTCAATACATTGTATCACTACATTTTACAACGATTTTTTATGATCTCGCTTATTGGTTGTAAACTTTCGATCAATTATGACTGCAATAAATATTTTTAATAAACTCGTGCATTGTAAAACCTACATTCGCCCACACGATTAAAACGAATGTGAATAAAAGTCACCCAGCTACTACGCATTAAAGTGCCATGTGCGTTGAACCAATGTTCGAAACCTGACCCCCAGACAAAGTCACCTTCAGTAAACGGTACACAATATAATATTATGTACAGGTGAAGTTGAATATACCTTTCAGTAGGTACATGTGGACTCTTTGTAAATTCAACAACACCAGTAAAAGTTCTTTTAAAAATTTTAAGTTACGATTGGCCACATCTCACGAAACGCGAATTGTGTCTAGCAGGTAGGCGTGTCGGAAATAGACGCCTTGACCTAGTCGACGGAGACCCCGCAGTGACCTGACGTGTACACTGTAATGGCTATACGCTGTAAACACTAAGTCGAAAGTGTAGTGAAGTAAGAATAAAGAAAGCTTTATGGGCTACTTAAAAAGGTGGGCATTCAACATAACAAATTAGTGATTTCTTATAAAAACTACGGATTCTTTTTACTAAGATTACAGGGAAATCTCTCTGTTCCTTCTTAGTTAATGCTCCGTCCTCATAAAGTGAGATCAAATCTCGAGATTTTTTACGCACGAAATTCGTGATTGTGCGGCTGGCTAAAATAAATATCCTGCTATCTAATATTTGCAATTCTGTTCAACTTAGTAAACTTTGTTAAAATATGGCAGCGGTAACAGACGCGAATAGATATCGCCTAAGTGGCTAAGAACCTACGTATGTACAGCAGTTGTTTCTAAAACTAGAATTACTACATTTATGGCTAGTTCACACTCCCTTAAGTTGCCCTTGATCCAGTTACACAGTTGCATTCGTCCCCTCTCGCCTGACTACGCCCTAAGGTCAGATGTTAGATAGTTTACAATAGTTATGAATATAAATTCTTATAATAATTAAAATCACGATGTATGGCTGTTTCACTTTAACAGCCTTTGAATGTTTGAGTGAAACACATTTTCATATTATGTGTTGTTCATAAATAATCTTCAAAAGGTTTTCACGTCTACATGTTGGTTGATGAAATTATTACTAGGTTTTTTTTAATAATAAATACATACAATTAATGCTGAGTATTTATTTGATGTGAGTATGATTTACAATAAGCTATTTATAAAACTACCCCTCTAAGTTATGGTAAATGATGTAAATTTTTTATTTATATCTCCTACTGGTAGCAATTCCTATATTTCTGAGTATTTGTAAAATCAATAAGATTGCAGCAGCAATTTATACAATCTAATCTATAAAGTACCAAACATATTAATAAGGGCACACCCTACTAAATCCTTGCATTGTCCATGATTAACTTTTTGTCCAAGTTACATTGGTAAGTTTGTCTGAGATTACAGGTGATTTAGATTATGGTATTCTTTTATAAGTCATTAGTTATCATAAGCCTATAAGTGCCAACTGCTGAGCAAAGGCCTCTTCTCACTCTGAGAATATTTGATCATTACTCACTGCACATGTTTAAGGCCTTAGGAAATTTTAAATTCAGGTTTTCTTACAATGTTATCCTTCACCTCACTAACATAATAACACTGCAATAACATAAAACTGGAAAAGAGTCCCTCATGCATGACAAGCTGGTGCCATTACACACCATAAACCATGACAAACCATTATAAGATATTGAACAAGTTAAAATGTGATAGTTTAAAAACACAATTAAGTAGTAGTCCCATAAAAAGGAAGAAGTGTTCAGCCAAGAAGGTTTTGCAACTATTAATGTTATTATTAAAGTTAAAGACAGACATAAAAAAATTTTAAGCATTCCATTTTTTCCCATTACTCTATCTATGAAACCTTAAAACAAAGCCTAAAAATAAAAACCAAGATCTAAGTATATATTAAAATTGATTTGCAAATAGACGAAGTAAAGAAGAGTAGAAAATATTTTATTGAGTAAAGCATTTATCACACACATATTCTAGATATTATTTTTTATTGATAAATCTATTTTTGTTAAATTACATATAACATACATTATCTGCATAGAAAATTTTAATGTATAACACAAGAAATAGCTTAATTTATAAATAAATAAATACCAATAATAAAATTCAAGGGCTCATTTAAAATGATTATTGCACTACTTAACTTTACTCAAAGACAATCAACTCAAACAAAGAAGACTGTTATGACTTCATAAATTATTATCTTTTTTATAGCCTCAACAGTTACATCACAGTATAATCAGTAACAAGCTTGCTTCTTTTCAAATCTTATTACTTCCAGATAAACTACATTCTAATTAAGAATCATGCAGATAAAAGTAATCATTTATACTTTATTACTACAATCTACTATCATCTCAGTTTGAGAACAATTTGAAACAAAAACAAATGTGACCCATTTAAAATGATAACATTATAAAAGAAGTTATTTAAAATACAGTAGTCAAACTAGGAATCTATATTGCAAACAGATTAATGCATATCAGCAATATGTAGAATGACCATAAACAAACCCATTTTAATTTCAAAGTATGTGTAAAATACTTGTAGTTTATAATCCTTCAAAGTTTAAGCAATGAAGAAGTGTATTTAATTGTCTATCATTATGAAGTGAGGTACTTTACACTACATACAACTCATACTCATGTATGAACCAAGACATACAGGTGTGTATTTGTAAATATCACAAATGTTTGTCAAAACTTTTAGAACACTCTACTAGAGCATTAGAAGATGAAAATAAAAATATGAATTGGTTTGCATATCATTTGCAAATATATTTGTCTAGCCTACATAACCAGTATAACAAATATAGTACAATATGCCATTCCAATTTCCAGTGGGAGGGAGGCGAGTAGGTGTAATAAAAATCAATACCGTTGTTTCATTGATTTCTGGTATCTCAAACATACATGACTACAGATAATTTCGCCAAGTTGTATGTTATCGATACTCTAGACAGCTCGTAAATGTCATTATGTGAATACTACCAACTTTCCCTATCGCTGGCATACAAATTCCACGTTCGTCGGAAATCACACGATCGTGTAGATCAAAACATTGTCGACAAGAATGGTAACGGTACGTTTCAAACACTATCCTTTCACGCATGTTAACATATGGCCGTGGTAATACAATCGCATTGATTACTCCAATTATTGCACTCGCGCTTACATTTGAGACCTCAGAAAACGACCTTGAATTACCTAAATTAAACCGTGACGAAAGCCTCATACGTAGCGAGATCTCGATTGATTTTTCTGTGCCATAATTTTTGCAGAATTCGCAATTGAAACGTACTAATTTATCATCTTTCCTTAATTCAACACTTTAATCACATTTCGACACTCACCTTGCGTAACAAGGCAGATATCAGGTCACTGCACCCAAGGGTTTCCATAATTTATAACACACAAAATCACACACGATATCATTTTCGTCAAAATGCACAAACAAAAAAAACCAACGTGACGAGAGGAAGCGCATCGTTCAAGCTTCAAATTTATACTGACAGCCATGCTGCTGATGAGTCCGACTTTATTGTGGAGTTGTGCGCTGATTGGTCGAAAATCTAGAGATAAAAAATAGTAATTGCGCTGCTCCACCAATCGCCTGTACGGATTTGAAAAATTCTTGATAGTTTGCCAAAAAATATTCGATTCGATTAACAATACTATCTAGCATTGCACCTAACTCTTTTTTTTATTAATAGTTAATCTTATCACTGGTGAACGTGAACTTATGGTTACAATTTAGTTTTTTAGTATTGAAGTAAACAGAAAAATTAGTACATTTACCTATCTCAAAATTGATCAGCGTTTTGAAAAGTAAGTCATAATATTTTTTAATGATATCATCGTTTGTAATTAAATACTTTTTTTGAATTTGATATAAATACATTTAAAAATTAAAACTGTGCTAAGTACGTAAATCGGAACTTCATAGTACTGACTGACATATGACATAATTATTGATAATGTCACTGTCAGTTTTATAGGTTATGTTGTGATGTGTTTTGGTTTAGTGTACTCGTACTAAATATTTAACATTCTCAACAAATAATGGGGAAAAAGAAAAACAAAGAAGCTAAAAAGAAAGTGAACTTAGTTTTTGATGAATCTAAGCGCAAGTAAGATTTCTTTGTTAGTTGTGTTAGTGTGTTCAAATTTTTTTGTTAGTTCGTCGCGCTTTTATATTTTTTTGTAAATTGCCACATATCACATTATTTCATATATTTCCAGGGAATTCCTGTGTGGATTTCGTAAAAGGAAGTTAGAAAGGAAAAAGAAAGCACAAGAGGAATTGAAACAACTTTTAAAACAAGAAAAGAAACGAATTAAACAAGAGGTACGTAAATGCACGTGGGCTATTTTTCATTATGATGGTTTGTGTATTTTAATTTTTTTGAACTATTTAGCAATTTAGCAATATATTGAGAACAAATAGCACCAGAGATGAGAATTCTGTTTTGTAGGGTTACTTTAGGGTTAATTTACTTCCCTCTTTTGATTTTCAGAATAAAGAATCATACAAGAAGCTTGTAGTTTCAAGTCGACCTATACCTGACATAGAGCAACTTTTGCAAGATGAGTATGAAGATGAGGATGTTAATGTTAAAATAGTCGAACTCTCAGCAGATACTCTACAAAAGAAGGACTTAGTAATAGGTGAAAATAGACCAAAAGAAAAAATACAGACGCCTCAGAATAAAAATAAAAACAAAGATGTAATAAGGGCAGCTGTAGTTCCTGGCATGGGTTCAGATGAAGAAAGTGTGGAGGAGGAATCTGAAGGTGAAGAAGATGAAGATAACAAAATAAAAACAAAGAAAGAAATAAAAAGCATGTTGAAGAAACAAGCAACAAAGAAAATACAAAAAAGTAAAGTATTCCAAATGAAAAGCAAACTAGATAGAATTCAGAATAAAAAGAAGTCATTGCAAAAGAAAGGGCATATGAGAGGCAAAGCTGATCCAAGGAAAGGTCATGGAAAATCCAAGGATAACCCAAGAAAAGATAAATCAAAGAAAAAAGTTGGTAGGAGAAAACATTGATTTATTTTATAACAAAAATTATTAATTAATAGAACCTTAAGTTAAATGAGGTATTCAACATAATTATGGTTTGATTAGCCTCAAAGTCTTGAGATTCTTAATAATTGAAACTTACTCCATGATTACACCATATTTATATTTGAGTTGAAATCAAGCTGGCATTGCATTTAAAACAATACAAAATACCTTTGTATGAAACTAAGGCACTTAAAAACAATGAATAAGCAACATGCATTGTAAAAACTTAGGTAATAAAAGTTATTCACTTTCAATTGGTTTGTTTTTATTAAGAATATGTTTCATTCCTGGTTAGTATTTGACTTTTGATTCACCCCTGCCTTGCTTCTTGTGTTTCTGGTATTAATTTCTTGCACCACAATGTTTTCATCACTGTTACTCTGTGAAATATTTTCATTATCTGTATCTAATTTTTGATTTGCAGATATTGTTTTCTTTTGTGGAGTAGTTTTCTTCCTAGGACCAGTTTTAGTAGTCAGTTTATCATTTTTAACATCATCTTTTTTTGTTTTTTTATTAGGAGTAACTTTTTTCATAGTTTGTGCTTTTCCTGTCTCTTTGGATTTTTCTTCAAAGTCATTCATATCATCCTCTGTATTGACGTTGTCTGCCCTATTTGGTGTGACTTTCCTCTTCCGAGGAGACTTTTTCACATTTTCTTTTCCTTCTGTACCAGTTTTAACATTTAAGTTTTCTTTCTTTATCTCTAATTTCACATTTTCATCATTTAATTCCTTTCTTGGTGTGACCTTTCTACTTTTAGGTGGTTTAACTTCAAATTCATCATCAGATTTTTCACTTTTGACTTCCTTCTTTACTGGGGTCTTCTTGGGTGATTTCCTACCCAAATTACTTGATGGGCATATATCTCTATTCAAGCACTCATGACACATGGGACCTACAGGCAGGCAGATTGTTTGACCAAACCCTACCAGAAGATGATTAACTTCACTCCAAAGATCGAAGGGCAGCCAGGTTTGCAAGGCTTTTCGAGTTTCTTCTGGAGTATTTGTTGGTTTCTTTACCCAGCCTATTCTGTTGCTTATTCGATGAACATGAGTGTCCACACCTGTAAAAAATATGAATATTTGCAAATACTCTCATAGAACATGTGTTTTCTTGATTAATAAATTTCTTAGTGCCTGAACTTACCAATCCCAGTGACTTTATCCCAAGCAACAAGCATACAGATATGAGCCATCTTTGGTCCCACACCAGTCAATTTGCACAACTTCTCCACAGTGTCTGGTATGTCTCCATTATACTGTTCTTTCAAAGTTTGTGTTGTTTTCTTAATGTACTTCACTTTAGTCTAAAACATATTTAAAATAAAATCAGCATCTTCACATCAAGGTATTCCTCATTTCATCATCATCATCAGCCTAAGTGCCCACTGCTGAGCAAAGGCCTCTCCTCATAAAGAGAAGGTTAGAGCATTAATCACCATGCTTGCTCAATATGGGTTGGCAATTTCAACCTTATAATTAGAAATTATAAGTCCAGGTTTCCTCACAATGTTTACCTTCACCATATGTCAGTGGTGTCACATTTAAAATAGCTTATTTCATAGTTCTATGCTCATTTAAAATAGTTTAGTAAAGTTCTAATGAAAATAAAAAATTGGCTCCAACTCTACTTAAGGGCTGATTTTTCAATGTTTAGATAAAAGTTACCTCGGGAATAATTATGATGCTGTCGCATCAGAATGTTTGAATAAGGCAGTGACACCGACAATTTTATTTCTCAGATAACATTTATCTAACTATTAAAAATCTTGGAATCAACGATCCTTTTCAGATTTTTGATCTCACCTTCCAAAATCCTACAGGGTAAATCAGCTTGCCCAACTCATCATCACTCATTTGTAATATGTTATCTACTGTTAACCCTCTGGCTCGGAGACGCTCCATAGCTGCAAATGTCACCTGGTCTTTTGTTTGACTGGACAGCATCAATGATATCAGACATTGATATCTGTATACCTAAAAATATACAGAAATTAGTTTTTCACCAGTCAGTCACCAATAGTTGACAAAATGAATACCATGCATTGTAATAAATTGTGATAGTAAATGACAATATACTATGTTATGTTATATACCTATTTAGAAATGAGTAACCTCTTTAATTTTTATTAACACAAAGTAATTAACTTTATACCTCAGGAGCAGCTTTAAGATCGCCACTTAAATGGCAGCCCATGGTATCAACTGGAGCATCATTGTTTGATCTCATATTCCTCAAGTTCACCAGAAACTCTTTCCAATTAGCTGGCTCCCATAGACCTTTGGTTTCCTAAAATAAGAAATTGTGAATAGATAAAAGTTAATTATGATTGAGAGTACACACTTTTTTACTTTTTGGTAAAATAAAATGTTAATTTACTTGTTTCTTAGCATTTTCTGGTGAATCCTTTTCATATTCGATTTTAACGTGCGGCTTCCTTTCGTATTTAAATTGACTTAAATCTATTTTACTTGGACTCAGCTCCTCTGCTGGTTCTTCTGGTGCTTCAATCTTGATTTTGATATTTTCTGTTATATTAGTTTGATTTTTATCTTCTTTCTTTAAACTGGTATTTTTAATGGCACAATTTGCCGCTGTTGTTGTCTGTTTAATTTTACCGCGCGGCATTTTCAGCACGAATGTAGATAATTTGAATATATCGCCAACTAATAGAGCACTATAAAAGTTGCACACTTCTGATAAACTTGAAACTTTGTGTTCAATTTATTTTTGTCAAACAGGAGATTCTGAATTTCTGACAGAACTTTTTTACGTGTGTATGATGATCTTCCAGTATATAGGTACCCTATCTAATATTATACAGGCCTTTGAGGATTGGAAGGATTCAGGATATTTTGTAGTTTTTGTACTATAAAATCTCTGCTCGATCAATTCAATGATCATATAAAAAGTAGTGTTTATAGTCTTTGATTGATCACAAAACACAAAAACTATAATTATAGGGATTTTATCCATAGACCATACAATACAATAGTAGACATTTTTGTTTTTGACATCATTTAACTTGACATCTATATTTTTTTAGAGATGAGATGTCATTTCATTTCTTTACAGTAAACCTGTCAATTTTACAACTTGATTGAAAAATAATTTTCCTCAGATATTTAAGTTGTTCAAATAAATTTATTGTTATTTAAGCTTTAAAAATATGGCAGAACTACTCTTAGATCCTAAAATTAGATTATGGGTTTTCCTTCCCATCGTTATCATTACTTTTTTGGTTGGCATTGTGAGGCATTATGTTTCCATCATTCTATCCTCTCAGAAGAAAATTGAGCTTCTCCAGGTCCAGGACAGGTATGTTACTATTATACTGACTCAGAAAGCTTTCGGAATCTGCAACGAACTGCTTATTATTGTATAGTTGTTTAGTAATTTAAATAACCTCGAGCACAGTATGGTTAAATTCAGTTCCTGATTACAACAGTTAATTTTTTTGTAATTAATTGGACTCGTTTCAAATTAAAAAACATGTTTCATTTTACCGAAATTCTATTCCAGTCAAGTAATGATTCGTGCCCGTTTGTTACGCGAGAATGGGAAGTATATTCCACGGCAGTCGTTTGCGATGCGCCGACATTGGTTCAACAATGAGGAGACTGGATACTTCAAGGTTCAGAAGAGAGCTGCCGCTTCTCAGGTACATAAAAATGGACAGATAAATTATTACATACCTAGTTGTTTTATAATAAAACTAATTTAAGTAACTAACTATTAACTTAGAATAGAAGAAATAAATAATAGATCTAACATTTCAGAATCCCATGACAGACCCTGGCATGATGACTGACATGTTGAAAGGCAATGTGACCAATGTGTTGCCTATGATTGTCATTGGAGGCTGGATCAACTGGATGTTCAGTGGTTTCCTAACCAGTAAGTTAAAAAATTAGCAAACAAATTATCATCCCTTCTCTAATTCTATTCCAAGAAATAATCCATGGTGTTTCTTGTTATAGTGAATATTTACATCTTATAAAACAACAATTTCAGGACAAATAATGACTATCCATTATCTATTTTACAGCAAAGGTGCCTTTCCCTCTGACACTTCGTTTCAAGCCAATGTTGCAGCGGGGAGTGGAACTGGCTTACTTGGATGCATCATGGGTTTCATCTGCTTCCTGGTATTTCCTCAATGTCTTCGGCTTGCGCACCATCTATGCTTTAGTTTTAGGAGAAAATAATGGTAAGGATAATTTATATGAAAAATTACAGAAGTATTTTTTGCAGTTTCATTGACTACAAAAATTTTGTGTCCACAGCTGCAGACCAGTCGAAAATAATGCAAGAACAGATGTCTGGTGCTGCCATGGCAATGCCACAAGACCCAAAAGCTGCTTTTAAAGCTGAATGGGAAGCACTAGAGATCACAGAGCACCGTTGGGCAGTTGCTAATGCAGAGCTAGATGTACTCAGTATATTAGATGACCATCAACATGAACCACAGTAACTTAGTATAATTATTTATATATTATGATCATAATCAATATAGAATAATTTATAGTTATCTGTAAGAAAAGGTGTGTGCATATTTGGTGTTTAAGGAATAAATGACTCCTTGTTATTGACCAATTTGGTTATATTTGTTTAGTTGACTAAGTTCATCCAGTAACCTTGTTTAACTTATATGAAAATATTAATAAACAACATTGCATTTAAAAAACTTATTTATTTCAATGCAAAAGTATATTGAGTATATACAATATGACCTTTTCCTATACAAACACATTAATTAACAACATAATTCTTATTGCTTTCTTTGCTGTTGCTGACTTTATAGTTTAGGCACTACTACTAAAACAGTTATTAGGAAAATATTAGTCAATAATGATTCTCATGCATATACAAGATGAACAATTCCTTTTGATGATGTATAAAATGTATTGATCTACCAGCATCAGCTAGATAAAAAGATTTACATGGTCCTAAAGGTATTCCACATATTTTATTTGTTGGGTCGGCAAACTAGCCGTTGAATCACCTGATGACAGTCAAACGGTGCTGGCCTTTTGTAAATTGTTAGGGGATTTATGGATAGTGGATTGGGGTATTGAGAGTGAGGGGAAAGAATTGGGCCTCCGGTAACTAAACTCACACGGCGAAACAATGAATACATACACAAGGATTTAGTTAACCAGCTTATCACATTATACAATCATTGATCTTGATTCTGTTACTTTTTTTTGACATTTTGCACTTGACAGTAAAAATAATGAAGAGGAATATCTACCTATCTAACATGGATACCTAATTAATGTTACTATTCAACTTTAGTAGTAAATATTTTGATATATTTCTTAAGCAACATGTATGTAATTCTAATTAAATGGAACCAACTTCATGTAACATTCTCAGTCATTATAACATGTTCTAGTAATTCTATAGTTTTCTATAAAACACATTTCAATCAGTAAAAATAAAATGTAACCGAAAATTAGCTCTTTTTCGAAGACACTATAGAATTATATAATGTTTAAAAATGTCAAGCATTGCACATTGGTATCATAAAATTCTACGCCAATTATGCAGCCTTCTCATACATCATCCGGAAAATAAGCTACATATAACAACAACAAAAGTTTCAGGATCTTTCATTTATATTAGATATGATTTGCATAACAAGACAAACAAATATTCCTTTCTTCGAATATCACTTGGTAATGACCAATGTGCATTGCTTAAAATACAGTCCAAATGTCAAGCAATCGACGTCCATGCAAAAGATCATCGAGTATGAGTGAAACAAGCCATTGCTACTTCTTGATGAGTTGTACAACATCCTCATCTTGTACGGTGTGGCCAAGCCCCACTCTCTGAGGAGAGTACTTGGTGCTGGTGCCCCAAACTAGGGCATACTTCAATGCTGCAGCCAATGTGCGATGTATGGCGTGGCACACATGCTCTATTGTTACGCCCTAGAAAAGAAAGATTTTATCATTTGCTTATACTAAATATAGCATGTAGATAAATAACTTCCTTGAAAGTAGCACATACCTTTCTCAAAATTAGTCCATCTTCAAAATCTGGGGGCTGACCGGGCTTCTTAGTATAAACTCTGATGAGAGACAGGTATTCCCAGAGTGTCTCCAATAGAAAATCTAAGTTCAGTTTCATGTTACAACTAAAACAAATAATTTATCTAGTTACAACATTTTTTCTTGTTCAATTACTTGTGTATCTATTTTGATTTATATTTTTCTTGTTTTTGGAGTAGTCTGAATAGCAGTCCATCTGGTCTTCTCTTTGAAATGTTTAACATTTGGTTTTCAAGAACATATTTACGTATCCCTTTAAAATACTGCAAATGTAAAACTAAAATAAATTTCTCACCTAACAACAACAGTATGTGGTTGTCTGGCTATTCTATCCACCTCTTGGATAGAGATCTGATCAATCTTGTTGTACACATACAGGCAAGGCAGGTACACTCGGTTTGCAAGGATCACGTCGATCAGGTCATCCGCTGTCGCATCTTCACGGAAAAGCACCTGGAACATTGCAAATAGAGTTTGTTAATCCATCTTATACCAACTTCTGAGAAGAATTCTAAATAACATTATTTTATTAATCCTAATTAGTTTCAGTTACATTATAATTATTACAAACCTCAGCATTAAATATCTTGTATTCATGTAGAATCATTTGCACCATTTTTTCGTCAACCTTGGTCAACTGGCATGTTGAGTTGAATGATAGACCTCCACCTTTTTTTACCTAGAAAGTCATACAAATATTAAGTACTAAATAAACAATTTGAAAGAAGAGAAAAACTATTACCAACATCGGCAAGCATTTTGCCGCTATCAGCGAGACGACCTACGATGTAGCCCGCCTTACTTACCCATAAGTTACCTAGTCACACGGACTTGAAGACACCCATACATTTCGAGGAACACAGAGTCTAAGCAATATATTTGATTCCCTAGGCGGTTCTGATAAAAGAACTGGAGGCTAACCGATTAATGCGTGTGGGTGAGATAGAAAGGGATTGCCCTTTCTATCTCACCAAGAATCAAGGGGAATCAAGTCGTGCAGCTACTAAAAGCTCAAGATGGTCAGTCGAGTTTAGACTGCATGGTTGACGCGGTGGCTGGGCAACTGGCTGCCGCGCAACGTGTCGTATTTTCGATTCCCGCAATGGACATCTCTTTATGGTGATCTACAAATTGTTGATCCGGGCCAGGGTGTGATGTGTATGTTAAATTGTATATTTGTAACCACACCCACGACACTGAAGAAAATCCTAGAATGGGGCAACATTTTTTATAAAAAAGGAAACATCTTGGTGGGTCAATGGGGAAATATTTACGTAACATTGTTGTTACTCACTTTGAAATAGATGTTAGGCTTAGGCTTGTTCAGCCTTATGCCCACACTCTCCAACTCTTTCTCAAGCAGCTGTCTGTGCACATAGGGCTTTGTGGCATCCAGCATCATAAGCACCAAGTCTGCTGTCCTCGCTACAGCTATCACCTAAAATTAATAAGTGTTATTCAGAAGAATTCTGTTTTATGACTCATTTTTGTCAAGTAAAAACTTATACTGTATAACATTACTTTGTATAATGGTTCACAATAATGAATAGTCAAAAATATGAAGCCCACATATTGTCATTGAAGATTGATCTCATTTAATCATTAATGCAGATATGCAAACAGATAAACCAGCAACAGAACTGGAAAAACAGCAAACCTTACAAGAATTAAAAGCATTACATTTTGTCATGATTATAATTAATACAAATATATTTTCTTTGTAATATTTATTAATAAGATGTACCTGTCGTCCTCTACCCTTGCCTTGGGCAGCACCTTCAATGATACCGGGCAGATCTAGCAGCTGTATGTTGGCACCGCGGTACTCTATTACACCAGGGATGCATGTCAGTGTGGTAAACTCGTAGCTGGCTGCTTCTGAATGTGTATGGGTCAGAGTTGACAGAAGAGTTGACTGGAAATATAAGAAAAAAAACTAAAAACACTAGAGCTTTGCTAAGTTAGTTTGTTACATATTTTAATTTAACAGGTTTATTAAAGAAAGAAGTTTGTATACAGTACTTCATGATCAATAAACTGTTTGGTTTTCACTATCTTATAGTTTTGTATTCTTTATTTTAATTAAAGGATAACTCCCAATAGGATAACTACTAATAGGATAAAATATGAAATAACTTCAACATTTTATGCTTACCTTACCCACAGAGGGGAAGCCAATGAGGGCTACTCTGGCATCTCCAGACTTCAACACATCAAATCCTTCACCCTTATCACCTCCTTTTTTGGATGGCTCTAGGAGTTGGGACCGATATTTAGCTAACTTGGCCTTCAATAATCCCAAGTGATATTCAGTGGCTGTGGAATAAATTATTTACTGATTCACTATTTGATAACAACTCTGGTCAATGTCTTACTCTTATCAACATAGCCTACGAATCCTACGATCAGCAATGGTTTTTACAGAAACATCAAATTTATTATAGGTGTCTATAATATTAACTTGTTTTAAATTCTAGCTGAAGGATATAATAATTCAAAAGAACCTAAGACCTCACATTGAGAAAATGTAATACAAAATAACAATCATGTAAAAAGTAGAACTGGCCTGTAACAGGCTTGTTTACAACCCAACACTCGACGTAGCACTAGGTTTTGGCATCATTTAAATTAATATGGTCGCATTTTGTAAATTAGCATGTTCAACATTTATAAAATCCTTTCTTCTTTAGACTATCTGATGAATTCTTGCTCTATAATAATCTAGATATCTCGTATCGTGTCATCAACTTAAGTCTTAAGTTTTCAATTTTTATAGCATCACGGTTTCAGATTCTAAGATAACATTGTAATGGTACTGACATCGACTCCTATCTGTATGGGTACTTTACCTTTATTTTTCTGTGTTCTTGCGATTTCTTTTTCAATTTCTGATATTTTCTCCAAAATACCCATGTTCTAACTCTCACTATTGACGACGACAACAAAACGAACACGTAACCAATGAATAACGTATGTTCCTCTAATCAATACCAACAAATATCTACAGAATAATGATCATATCGCACTAATATAACTGAATAATACTAGAAGATTGTAAATAATATTTTTTTACAATTTATCAAAGGCCACAAGAATCTAAGGTTAGGTTAATCGCGTTCCAGCGACAACAAATTAAAAAGTGACAATTGAAAACAAAAATCCGACTGCACTGGAAGCTTTCTGTCAATGGTAGGTACTTACTCTTTTTACTCTTTGGTTTTAAAATGTAGATAACAAACAAGTTCATTTGATTACATACGAACGGATTTTATCAAGAATTTCGGACAATCAAAAAAGTTATATTTTTTTTATTATTTTTATCTATATCATCTACTTAAGCCAACTAGAAATTGCGTTATATTCCATTGTCATCGCAACCAAGGAACGTGAAAGAAATATTAGTAATAATATATTATAGTTTAAAATGATAATAAATACTTTAGTTGTTGGCATTTTAATAATAAATGAGTGATTACTTTTCTAAATATTTAAGTTCAATTAAAACACTGAAGTTGTTATTTAAAAATAATAAAAGCAATGGCTTCTATTCCTTTTATGTATCTTATTAGACGAATAGGGTGACCATAATTGTGGGACTTGTAGGATTCTGCTACATTTTCTTTAATTT